AACGGGACTTAAGTTGTTATGAGTTACTTTCGACATATCTAATAAAATGATTGAAATGTTTCATTAACACTTAACTATAATCAAGATTATCGGATAAGAAAGAGATTTTACGTATTCACAATTGGTTGGTTACTGGGTGGTCATTAATGTCATGTGTTTCAAGTCATTTTTAGTGCAGATGGAATCCTATCGACCAAGTTGCGATGTGGCTACCATTTTAGGTGACTCAACATTGTGTGCACTATGCTGAGATAAGATGGTGGTTGGAGGTGGTCAACAGGAAACCCTGGACCCGGATTTCGTGCTATTTGTCACTCATCAGCAATGTGTACTTGTAATCTTGAGAGAACTGGTGCTCCCTGACGGATTCGATCCCGTATCACCCAACTTCACAGTCAGAGACGTTACCATTGGGTTAACCAAGCCGTCACCGACCTCCTGTAGGACTTAGATGTATTCACACTTCTACACTCATTTACCTGTTGAAACTGGTCTCCAAATGTTTAGAAAATGAACTTTAAAAGATTTTATGCAAACTTCAGACTCTAATGGAAAATAGTGTTTTAGGAGACGAACAAAAACAATTTGTTCTATCTAATAGTCACCAGTGAATTCAAAATGGGGGAATGTTAACAAAACCTAGGAGTCGTAATCTTAGTGATTGTATTAAATATTGAACCCAATGGGAAAAGTTAGTTTAAGGAAGAGTGTCAGATATGAATTAGAATTGATAAGATTGTGGTTGGAAATAGTCAACATGATTTCCTGTCAACAAGGTTTCTTGCTGACGACTGCCAAATAGCACGAAACCGGGGTCCAGATTTTTTATATCTAATTTCGATTGTCGTTCACCAAGGTATATTTGTGGTGTGTGCCAAGTAGCACGAAATCTAGGTCCAGGATTTCTTGTCCACTACCTCCAACCACTATCTTTAAAAAAGGATAATTTGATCATTCTTCGTTAATCAATACTTTACTTTCATACTTACTTACTTACGCCTGGAGTCCCTCTTGGTACTACTGGCGATCACAAACCTGGATTAAAGAAGAGGATTGAGTATGGAGTTAGCGACTCTATCTCGTAGAAAACTAACTAGCTAAAACAGTATTAACCAGAGAAAAATATAATTCAAACCATATAAACTCTACCCTGAAAGTTAGGTCTTTATTTAGAAGAATTATGACACCTCATGATGAAAGCCGAGTTCCTTCAGAAATCACGAGTCTCAACCTCCTTCTGACAACCATAGCAACCATTCATTTAAGTACACGAAATCCTCATTAATAATCAATATTATTATTAATTAATGTACCTGATTATAAATTCACTTGATATTATTTGGCTTGTATCTTCCCATTGAGGTTTAAGACTGCAATTTACCAGTCTCTTATTGGCATATGTGCATACTGTGCTTATGCCTCGATATTGCCTTAATTCAAAAGCTTTATAGTGGCTAGCATTAGAATCTACTTTGAAACGCATCACTTCATCCTAATTGGAACTCGTCAATTAGATGTACCTATATCTCAGAGTTGATCTCCACTCTGAGACTCGAACCCAGTACCGTTTGCTTCAAACATCATCTCGTTATCCACTTAGCTATTGAGTCTTGATAGCCACTTGCTTTTGCTAGCGAGTCCCAAATAGGACGAAACGCGCGTCCTGGATTCCACTGCTAGTCACTAATCATCATTGCTTAGAAGTACCTGATTATAGTTATGAATTCAAGAAATATTCACATATTTGAACAGATATATACTTACATATATATATATGAACATGCGAACAAAGGTGTATTAACGGAATTTGTTTTAGTACAGAAAAGATAGTATTCTAAGTACAAATGATGAATATAGTGTGTACATTTTAGTAAAAAAAGGAAAGAACTAAGGTATGTATGGAATAGATTTGTATAAACTATGAATTGACAAGAACTTGTCTTTTGTAATAATAATAAGGTTTCTCTTCAGTTCGTTTTTTTTTGGAGAGACATTGGTTATTCTATAAATAAATATCCTACCATCCTTTCTTTCTTTCTCCTTCTCTCTCTATCCCTCTCTCTCCTTCTCTCCCTCTCTCTCTCACACACACACTCACCCTCTCTCTCTCTTTATGTATGTGTTTTGTTTGTACAGTATTGTTACTCGTAGTATTAAAATTTGGCATTTATATTAAAATGAAAAGAGATGAATTGTTTTCAGTAAGAAGGAATTCGTTTTCGGTATTCTGTTCTATCTATCTATCTATCTATCTATCTATCTATCTATCTATCTATCTATCTATCTATCTATCTATCTATCTATCTATCTATCTATCTATCTATCTATCTATCTATCTATCTATCTATCTATCTATCTATCTATCTATCTATCTATCTATCTATCTATCTATCTATCTATCTATCTATCTATCTATCTATCTATCTATCTATCTATCTATCTATCTATCTATCTATCTATCTATCTATCTATCTATCTATCTATCTATCTATCTATCTATCTATCTATCTATCTATCTATCTATCTATCTATCTATCTATCTATCTATCTATCTATCTATCTATCTATCTATCTATCTATCTATCTATCTATCTATCTATCTATCTATCTATCTATCTATCTATCTATCTATCTATCTATCTATCTATCTATCTATCTATCTATCTATCTATCTATCTATCTATCTATTCATCTATCCAGTTAACCATCTATCTATTTATTCATTTGATCACTCATCCATTCATTCATTTAACTATCCATCATTTTATCAATGTACTTATCTATGTAAATAGATTTGTTATTGTTGTTAGCTTATATAGTTTTCTTTAACTATTCAAGAATTTGATAATTATCAGTCTTATCTATTTCCTATTAATAATGAAGATGGTCATCATAATGATTAAAAGTAATGATGGATTGTAGACTAATATCAGTTGAAGAATGATCATCAACCAGGTTAAGCGTTCGCTTGCGAGATTGAAGACCCTGAGTTCGAATCCCTCGAACGGGGATTGTGGATGAGCACCGATGAGGAGTCGCACACAATAGGACGAAACATTTGTTCAATGCTCTCAGGTTTTCAATGGTGCTTTAACATCAATCAGTTCATGATCTCAATCAAAAACTTAATAATCTTCACAACCCTCTACTGATAATTACTATGTGTTCATTAATGACTAGCTTCGTGAGATAATTCTCGGTGTTTTAATGAGAAACCGTGACTAGTGGAGCTAAACCAGAAAACATCAGATATCTGTTTGGTTTTAGTTTGAATAGCTCGAGATCTGACTCGATTTTGATTGTAGGATGATTGTTATCAAAATATACATTGAGGCTATTTATGTATGTAATGATCGATTTAAATCGTGTTGGTGAATGACGAGAATAATTAAGTTCAATACGAGAATGGATTTTTGAATATGTGTGTTTCATATAATCGTTGATCCAGTCAAATGATTGAAAAAAATAAAGTGGAGAGAAGGGAGTGAAGCAAAATGACATGCGATGAAGAAGGCATGTAAGTTAACTATATATACATGAATGAGATAAGAAGTACACACATATACGCTCATATAAAAACAGTCAAGGTTGATAAACGAATAATTAACAAGACAACAATGTGACTCAAGAAGAATGAATAAAATGATCTTTCCACAGGTATAAATAACCTATGTGGGTTTGATGTATATATATGTATATACCAGCCTCTTTGTAGTATAGGGTCCCTCATCAATATCCTTCCAAGACTATATATAAGATTGAACCCCCTCCCTAAAAGCTTCTGTTCATGCAATGATTTCAATGCCCTCAAACTGTTAAATAGGATCATGCGTCCATTGAAGCCAGACTACCACAGAAAACCTGGAAGCACTGAATAGCCGAGATTTAGTTGGTGGTTGGAGGTAGTCAACAGGAAACCCTGGACCCGGATTTCGTGCTACTTGGCACTTGTCAGCAAGGTGTACCTGTAATCTTGAGGGAACTGGTGCTCCCTGGCGGATTCGATCCCGTATCACCCAACTTCACAGTCAGAGATGTTACCACTGAGCTAACTACCTCCAACCACCATCTAAATCTCAATACATAGTGCCCGCAGTGTCGAGTCACCTAGACTGGTAGCCACATTGCAACATGATCGATAGCAGTCGATCTGCACTAATAAGGACTAGACAAGCATGGCATTGGTCACCACCCAGTGATCAATCAATTGTGAGCACTGAATAGCCGTTTCGTCCTAGTATTGAACTGGTGAACAGTGCACATTTACGATCCTACAACAAAAGAATTCGAACCCAAGGCATATCGATCTCGCACGCAAACACTTAATCTCCAGATCACTGGTGTTAGTGTCTTATTTTAACCAGTTTACAATATAGCATCACTACCCACTCTTACCTTCAGTGGGTGGGATCGTGGATTCATACTGCTGAGGCGTCCCATACTAAAACGAAACAGTTGTCTAGTACTTCCAGGTTTTCCATGATAGTCTAACTTTAATCGACTCATGAATTCAACTATTAAATTACTACAATCATCACAAACCCCCCGTTTTTTAAAAATTTCTACCACTATTATTTTCATCAAGTAGTTTTCAATAATTTATTCCTGTTATCTATATGAATTACCATTATTGTTAATTTCTATAGATTAACTAAATTCTTTTTCAATGGTTAAGATCATGGGTCAGTTGAAGCTAGACCTCCATGGGAAACCTGGAAGAACTGGACGGCCGTTTCGTTCTTTTGTGGGACTCGTCAGTAGTAGTCTGATGGTTAAGTACTCGTGCGCGAAACCAGTAGGTCCTGGGTTCGAATCTCGTAGGCGACGAGGTCGTGGATGCGCACTGCTGAGGAGTCCCACAATAGGATGAAACGACTGTCCAGTGCTTCCAGGTTTTCCATGGTGGTCTAGTTTCAACTGACTCATGATCTTAATCATTGAAATTACTATAATATTCATAAAACCCATCTGATATTAAATTCTTTTTGTTAATTGTTCAGCTATTCAATACATGTACAATAGACTTTACACAATATCAGCTCCTATCAGTCTGTCATTCATTCAATTTAAAACATTGATTAACAGTTATATCATTTATAAAGTAATTCACCATGAAAGCTGATCCATCATACATAGATCTTCTTTCACCTTGTCCTATTTATCCTAATCCAATGTTAGCATTTAGTTCAAATATACAAAATTCAGGAAATTTATTTTTATCAGATATTTATAAAGATTTAAAACCAATTAGTTGTAATGGAGTTACCGTAACAACAAAAGCAACACCACCCCCACCACCCCCACCCTCACTACCTCCACTATCATCCCTAACAACAACAACAAATTGTACATCAGTACTTGGTGAAATAACAACATCATCAACATATACATCATGTTTTCCTACTGGCTACTATTCGTCTTCTAATTCCTCTTTAATCTCATCAGTAGAGATATCGGCAACACCGGTAACATTCAATAATGATACATCATCAATAATCATGATAAAAATTTTTTATTTATTAGAAACTATATGTCGATCAAAACATTTGATATACGAAGAAAAATTAAAAATTCTTATGAATATAGCTGAATATGTAATAAAATTTTATGAATATTTAACAAATTCAAGTATCAATGATCCAGTTTCAGTAAGTTTCATTGTTGTATTGTTTGTTTGAATCTTTGCATTATTGTTTAAGATTACGATTAGTCAGTCTTTTATTGATATATGTGTATCCTGTACAGATTGCCTCGATATTGTTAGTAGGCGGCCTATGCTCCTCCACGAGGATAGTGGTTAACAACAAACGAATCCATGACACGCGACACTTCTTTCTACCTGGGGCTCATCAGCTGGATGTATCTACATCTCAGAGTTGATGTTCATTTCGAGACTTAAACCCAGTACCGTTTAGTTCAAATACCATCGCGTTATCCATTGATCTACTGAGTCCTGGTAGCCAATTGCTTATGCAATAGGATGAAGTTTAAACTCATTTGGTATTCTTCACTTGAATCTTCCCATTGTAGTTTAGGAGTGAAATTGATCAGTCTCTTGTTGGCGTATATGTATCCTGTGTGAATTGTCTCGACATTGCCTTAGCTCACAAGCATCCTAAGCAAAAATGAATAGTCGCTAGCAGTAGAATTCAGATTGACAGGCGAAACTTCTTCCTATTTGTGACTTGTCAGTTGGATGTGCCTGTATCCCAGAGTTGATGTTCACTCCGTGACTCGAACCCAATACCGTTAGCTTCATTATATGTTATAATTCTCCTAACAGCTCGTATTATTGAATCATTTCTATAAGCAAAAAATATTCATATGTTTTTAACAACAACAAAAAAGAAACAATTCTACTGTGAATGAATTTTCTCATCGCCGATTAGATCGGTTGATGATGTTATCAACGGGCACACGACTTTAGTGGCCTTAAATATGAGTCCAATCATATTGTATGATGATTTGTTATCAAAATATACATCCCAGTTATCCTTGTATATAATCATCGACTTAAATCACATTAGAGAATGACAGAATTAAACAAGTCAAATAATAGAATGAAGTTTGAATACGTATGTTTCATTTACTCATTCATCTGGATAGACAATCAGGGAAATGAAGCGAAACGTAAAGGGTGAATCGAAACAGATCGGAGAAGGCATGTAAGCCAACTCCATTTAACCAAGAGTGAATTGATATTTATAGTCAAGCAAAAACAAGTTACAGACACATGATGAATAGGATAAGTAATTAAAATATACGATCGTATAACGAAATAGTCAAGATTAATAAGTGAATAAGTGACGGGGTAAAAACATGGCTTGAGAAGAATGAATAGATTGGTCTATGTAGAGGCTAGAATAACCTCATATAACTTCATATGTGAATTTCCATCATTTATCCTTCATATTCTATATGACTCTTCTAATTCACAATTCCTTTCTACTTCCTTTTCTGCTCTCTTTAATTCGATCTTCTTAACCTTCTGCTGCAAGGTTTTCCACTTCTGCTTGGTGTTGCATACTACATATGTCTGTCGATATAAGTAGCGTACACCGCATTCATTCCCCCTTTAAACGGCAGCTCTTACTATTTTTCTGCTCGATGTGCCACTCCCCATGTCGAAATGTCGAATTCGCTGACCTCCATAGCAATGTCTACCTAACGGGTCATCTAAATACGATGTCCCTCGAGCAGCTGTACGTTTCTCCCCCTCTCTCCATCAACAACAACCGCCACAACCAACACTAACCCACCAGAACACTCTACTCGATGTCACTTCCTCCTCAACAAATAGCGCATCCTCTTGACCACAATGCTAGTTAGTTAGTAACAAAAATAACTCGGAGTACACCATAGTCTTATCGGTACTCCACTGTAATTATTCGATGTTTTTTGTAAAACTAATAGTAAGTCTTCTACACCTCATAGACGGGCTAAAGTAGTTGCGTTTTCAATATCATTTCGAATCACCTGATATTTACACATATCAGAATCACTGATTTAATCCAATGATTTCATTGATCTGTATATCATTATGTTTTACCTAATCAACTTACATACACTTACTAAATTTACAATTTTCTTTGTATCAGGATTATGAAACTCCACTGAATCTGACACAACCAAAACTATTGAATAAAGAGACAAACATCAATGTATCTCCTTCGTTTGCATCATCTCAGTCATCGTCATCCTCCTCCTCATCATCCTCATCCTCATCTTCTTCCATCCTTTATCATTTCAATCAACAGAATTCCCCTGATCAATCAATGAAACCTGATAAACAATCACTTTCATTATCAACACCAAATAATAATACTTCAACTAATTTAGTAATTCCAATACCACAGCCTATACCTTGGTTACAAAAATCAGATCAATTATCAAATGGATCAAATAGTACCTCAAATAATAATAATAATGGTAGTAATGTGGCATTTCCTGAAACAAATTTAACTTCATCATTGAATTGGTTATCAACATTATCAGGTGGTAAAGAATTACCAAATTGGTTATTAGAACAGATTATACCAACTAATGAAAAGGTAGGTATATAGGGAAAGTTAATCACTATACTCTATAAGTATATCATTTTTCCATTAATATCTATATCAATACTATTTGTCAGAAGAGGGTTTTGTGGAGATCTTCATAATTTAATAGTTGAATTCATGAGTCAATTAAATCGAGATCATCATGAAAAACTTGCAAGCACTAAATAGTCGTTTTGTCCTAGTATGGGACTTCTCAGCGGTGGGCGTTTACGACCTCATTCATGGGACTCGAACCCAGGACCTGTTGGTCTTGAACGCAAACGCTTAACCCCTAAACCATTGAGATGATATTCGATGGTGTTCATGTCTAATTTCAACCAGTTTACTTATTGGTCATACCATCTAGATACCTTGCTTAATTATACTGTCAATAGATTTCTTTCACTGATTATCCTTTCACTCAACAGTGCGTATCCATGATTCCACTCATGGGATTTGAACCCGTCCGTTCAGTGCCTTAATTGATTCATGAATTCAACTACTCAAAATTATCAGTATAATTCTATTGAGAAGCCATAACCAGTGGAGCTAATCCATGTCAAGTAGGGATAGGTATCTACCTCAGTACAATGGAAGATGGTCGCACAATTTCACGGATTGGTTGAGATCGGATATTAACACCTTTGAATGCCGGAGAGCTCAGTGGTCTAGAGGATAAGCATTCACGCCCAAAACCGAAGGCCCTGGTCTGGAATCCTAAGAGCGTGATCGTGGATGCGCACTACTGAAAAGTCCCACATTAGTACGAAACGGCTGTCCAGTGCTTCCAGGTTTTCAATGATAGTCTAACACCAATCGGTTCATGATGTTAATCAAAAATATTAAAAATGACTACAATCTTCACAAACAACATCCACCCACGCACTCACCTTCACCCCAATTTATTTTTAATTTACCCTAGCTATTTGAATTGCATTAAATATAATTATTATCTGTGACGACGGACCACGGGTGAACTCGAGGAAGCTGTAGGAGGCTCAGAAGAAGCCGAAGGTATTCCATCCAATCACCTTTCAGAAGAATATTCTGGAATTCCAACGTGTAGCCTCCTGATTAGTCAGTGCTAATAACCCCATATACACGGATTGATGAACTGTAATGATGATTTCGTTCTTATTAAAAACTACCTGACAATTTTGTACTATAATGAACACTATTGGAATAACATTCCTTTCGTTAGTCTTCTGTCTTCTTCTTGCGACTTGAAGGGGTTTTAGGTGTTCTAGTGCTCTGTTATACACGGTATATCAAGAAACCAGCCTTTAAGATATAACATTATCTTTCACTATTATCTCCTTTAATTTATCCTATAGATGAATATCAATTCAATTTCACAATCAAATAATGTAATTACTGAAACAATGTTAAATTATTTAAAATTTTATTATTCAAGACTTTCAACAAATGAGAATCCATATGATCACCATGATCATCATCATCATGATCGCCATCATGATCTTCATCATCATGATGATCTTCATCATGATCATCAGCATTTATCTCAACAACAAATTCAATCACAAATGGAACATATCATTCAAATGAAAAAATTACTAAAATTATCTAATCATGAATATACTACTGATAATCAACTACTAATAAATAATAATAATAATAATATTGATTTTATTGATAAAACATCTACTATACAAAAATCAATTAATCAATTACATGAAATAATTGATCAAACCAAATTTAAATTTAATAAAGAATCAATAATGCCAGCAACAGTAACCATGCAAACATCATTATCAGAAAATAATGTAACTAATCATATTTCATTCAATGGATCAATAGTTAATCAGAATGATAATCATAATAATAATAACAATCATTCAATGTCATTTTTAAATGCTTCTCTTCCATCTTCAATGTATTTGTCGCCATCATCATCATCCTCATCAGCATCAGCGGCGGTAGCAGCAGCAGCAGCGGCAGCAACCGTATTAGGACTTTCATCGTCTTTGGAATATCCTTATTCACATCAAGTTAATACAATCAATCATTCTTTTGATAATAATAACAATAATAATAGTATTCTATCATTTAATCCAAAATTAAAGTCTATTTCCGAAACCAATAATGATACTAATAATCAATTCGGTTTTTCATTACAATCGATTTATAATAGTAATGGTACTAATGGTTATAGTATTGATTTATTTAGTAATAATAATAATAGTAATACTATTAATAGTATTAATAATAACCCAGCAACTACCATTGTCATGGATACCAAGTTGTCAATTACACAAACACCAATTAATAATCTATCATCATTGATTACTACTACTAATAATAATACTAATTCAATATTAAATGAGAACAATTCTAATTTATCATTATCTAATGGAATAACATATAATCAATCAATATTTTATAATCCTACCATCAATACTACTAATAATGATAATGATAGTAGTAGTAGTAGTGCTACTACTACAAGTACTACTATTACTACTACTACTACTACTAATAGTGGTAGAAATCCAAAATATAATGATCCATATACATATACATTAACACAGAATTCAAATGATTTAACTAAACAACATATTACATCATCCTTATCAAAACTTACACCTTTCAATTTAATCAATAAATTAGATCCTATAAATGTAAATTTAAATTTAATCAATACTATGATCCCATCAAATGATCCTAATCATCATCATCAGCATCATCATGATCATGATCATGGGATCAATCAAAATACGACTACTAATGATGAAGATGATATTAGTATTCATAGTAATAATAGTAGTATAAGTGAAAATGATCTTATTTCTAATAAATCATCTCTGTCTATTAATTATGATGATAATAATAATAATAATAATAATATAGAAATGATTAAATATGAAAAAAATAATCAATATCCAATTAATCAATATCATCATTATATGAATCAATCAATAAAAAGAAAGAAAAAGTTAAATTATTCTAATCAAAATGATGAAATGATAGAAGAGAATGAATTCAATTATGACATTTATCAAAAAACTCAATCGATTCAACCATATCAGGTAGGTAATATATTGCTAGTGTTATATATAGAGATTGATACAAAGGAGACAAAGGAGCAGAACTGTGGATGCGCACTGCTGACGAGTCCCACACAATGGGACGAAACGGCTGTTCAGTGCTTCCAGATTTTCAATAGTGGTCTAACATCAATCGATTCATGATCTCAATCAAAAACTTAATAATCTCCACAACCACTATACTGATAATTATCGTGTGGTCATTAGTGACTAGCTTCGTGAGAAAATTCTCGGAGTTCTAGTGAGAAGTTGTGACCAGTGGAGTTAATCCGTGTCGGGTAGAAACAAGTGTCTACCTCAGTAAAATGGAAGATAGTCGCGCAATATCGTGGATTGGTTGAGGTTAGACATTAACACCATGGGATTCCGGCTCAGTGGTTCAGTAGGCTAAGCGTTCGCGCGCGAGACCGAAGGCTCTGGGTTCCAATCCCGTGGGCGGGATCGTGGATGCGCGCTACTGAGGAGTCCCACGACAGGCTTGACTTGGAGATCGAATCGATAAAGATCATGGAGATATGTCAGGAAATTCAGTTTAACAAAAGTCAATGACTGCAAGAGATTGATATGTTATTTGATCCTTTCAAGATTTTGAAGTTTATATGTATCATTGGTTAAAAATCAAGGTTTTTTAATTCACCCCTCCCCCCCTAAGTGAATTCTCTGTATACACTAACTTGGTGAAAGCTCAGAACTTTCAGTTTTTATCTTATTTCTTTTTGTTTGTAAATAACACCTTAGCTGTGAGAATATAATAAGTGGGATTTCCCTGACAGATACTATATATACGTGAGAATATGAGAGAATTTTGAAAAGGAGCAGACTCTTCACAATCTCAGTTACTCACAACAGTGAAAAGTACTGTCTTATCTTCCTTAATATACAATTTAGCTAACGTTAAGTAAACCTGACTATATACAAATGAAAATATTTTTTCCTGAATTCTCTGAACAGCTTGACACTAAAATGCTGATAAGTCTTGCAAATTGAACGCTATATTCGTTTCCTAAGCTATTCTGTAACCCCCAAGCTAGAACTATACAGCGACTTGAACAACGAGAGAGCAGACGCAAAGTATGCGAAAAGTACTTTACCCTAAGGTTCATTTTAACACAGAAAATATAGGGTTTTTATAATATTTTTAAATGTCCTTGGGTTGCTAGAAGATTCTAGAATGCTACTAAACATAGTAGCAGTATAGTAATCAGCCAGTCAGAACCTCTTCATGTGACGTTTCACTTCCTTGATATTTCTGGCTAAAACTTCAAGTGAACACTGATTGCTTGTCTTTGGCAAGAAATTTTTTGGACTACTCCAACAGATACCCAAAAGTCACTCACAGTCTGAAAATAAAAGGTTGGATCAATCAATATATGTTTACTGAAGTTAGTCAGTATCTTTGGGATATATACATCTTGAAATGATTGACCTAGGAAGTTTTCGCAATATTTAGCATGGATCCGAGACTTCAAACTCAGTACGTCTTGTTTTCAAAAACACCCAACGCTTTATTCACTGAGTTGTTTGGAATCAGTAGTCAATAAATTTAGACGTCTACATCCTGTGTGAATTGTTTTGATATTACCTTAAGTCATGGATAATCGCTAGTAGTGGAATCCAGTTTGATGCGCGTTTCCTCCATCAGTTGGATGTGCTTGAATCACAGAATTGATGTTCACTCTAGATCTAGAAGCTCATTAAACTATTTATAGAACCTATTACATTTCATGATTAATTACCCTTATTTCTTTCACTAACGAAGAATAGTAGTATACTTTACTGGATTATCACTAATTGAATGTAAACGGTGAAAACAACATCTAATTAATCAATGATCAAAGTATTTAACATGAATCCCAAATCTATCTGCCATAATGATCACAACTGAGAACTTTGAACGTAGAACAACTTCATTGTTCAATATATTACCACTTTCATAGTTGCTTAATTGTTGTCATTTTATGTTGAGCATCACCTTTAGGGGTCAGTCAGTATTTATAACTATGTTGGATATAATTAACATACTTTGAGATGATAGAGAAGATTTGTAGTACAGGTGGATGATTTTGATAAAGTTTTGTTCTCTAAGCTGGATAGTTTGGTCGTGGAGCTTTCATCATTCTTTTGAACGACGTCATCAGCTGAGGATGAAAGCTCCATGATCGAACAATCCAGCTTGGAGAAAAAACTCCATCAAACTAATTAACATCTATTCTGAAGGTAAAGACCGGTGACACGCAAGGTTGCTTATGTTATATCCGGTGAAGATTAAATTACAGGTAACTTCCGAGGACTATTCATGGACTAATATTCTATAAATATTCTTATTGTATAACTATTCAACAATTACATTATGTATATTTATATCCCTCTTATGACAAGCTTTATTTTGACCTATAAATTATTATTGTACGATTTACGGTTCTTAAGTTATGTTCAGTTTATTAACTACTGCCTCCCACATTCACGGCCACTTTTTGGGCTTATTTGTGTACAAATATTATTTCCTATTTTATGGTACGTTGCGGTCTGCCTGATTGATATATAAACCAAGTATGCCTGAAATAAACGATTCGGAAGCTGGTATTGTGTTCTGGACTCAAGTGGAAGGGCTCGGAGGACATAGGACCAATAAGGACGCTAAACTGCCCACACCGGTTGAACGTCATTGGTTGGCCTAGTGTGAAGATTCGTATAAGTCGTATTCGGATTGGTAGATAAGTCGTGTGAGAGAAAAGTCAGACATCCAAGGTCATAACAGTTTACTCTCACCCTTACTCTTTCTCCTGATGATCGACTGGATCATGAAGACGTCAACATCTGATGGGAACCATGGAATACTTTGGACATATAGGATGCAGCTGGACAATCTAGACCCCTCAGATGATCTGTCTCTTCTATCGCACACGCAACAACAAATGCAGAAGACGACTATTGTAGCAGCAGCCTCAGCAGCAGTAGGTCTCAACATACACAAAGGGAAAAGAAAGATTCTCCGATACAACACAGCATGCAACAATCGAATCACACTTGACAGAGAAGATTTGGAAGATGTAAAGACCTCTACATAACTGGGCAGCATCATTGATAAACACGGTGGGTCTGATATACATGTGAAGGCGCGGATCGGCACAGCAAGAGCAGTATATCTACAACTGAAGAACATCTGCAAATCAAAACAACTGTAAACCAACATCAAAGTCACAATTTTCAATACTAATATCAAGACAGTTCTACTGCATGAGGCGGAAATTTGGAGAACTACAAAAGCCATCATGCAGAACATACAAGTGTTTATTAACAGATTTCTACACAAAATAATTCGGATTTGTTTGCCAGACACTACACTATCAGCAACAACGTACTGTGTGAGAGAACAATTCAGATTGCTGTGCGGAGGAAGAAATCAGGAAGGAGCGTTGGAAGTGGATAGGACACAGATTGAGGAAAGCACCCAACTGCGTCAATAGACAAGCTCCCACATGGAATCCTGAAGGCCAAAGTAGGTGAAGAGGAAGACCAAAGAACACATTACGTCAAGAAATGGAGACATACATAAGAAAAATGAACAGAAATTAGATAGAACTAGAAAGGAATGCCTAGGACATATTGGGTCAAAGAATGCTGGTCGGCGATCTATGCTCCATTGGGTGTAACAATCGTAAATGAGTAAGTAAGTAAGTAAGTACTGAAGGACAAAGTTTATCTAACTTGATATTGGTATCTTCTTCATTCTATGTAATAATATTGAGTGTATTACTTTATTTCAGACACAAATGAAATCACAACGTACAATTAAATCAAATCCTGATCAACAGAATGATAAATCATCTTCTCATATTAAACGACCAATGAATGCTTTCATGATATGGGCAAGAGATGAAAGAAGAAAAATTTTAAAAGTAAGTATGCCTATTATCTAGAAATAATGGTAAGACTATAATATATAAACAAACAAATCAGATTGACGTTAACAGATCTTGAATTTTGGCGCGAAATTCATCCATTCATTGATTTGGTTAAATATCATTTTGGCATTTTATCTCATGTCAGTTCATGATGAAAACAATAAATCCTATTAGATGGTGGTTAGATGTAGTAGACAGGGTTTCCTGTTGACTACCTCCAACCACCATCTAAATCTCAATACATAGTGCCCGCAGTGTCGAGTCACCTAGACTGGTGGCCATATTGCAACATGATCGATAGCAGTCGATCTGCACTAATAAGGACTAAACAAGCATGACATTGATCACCACCCAGTGATCAATCAATTGTGATTACATTTCAGTCCTACAGGAGGTTAGTCACGGCTCGAATAGCTCAATGGTAACGTCTCTGACTGTGAAGCTGGGTGACACGAGATCGAATCCGCCAGGGAGCACCAGTTCCCTCAAGATTACAGGTACACCTTGCTGACGAGTACCAAGTAGCACGAAACCCGGGTCCAGGGTTTCCTGTTGACTACCTCCAACCACCATCTAAATCTCAAGCACGATATTTAATAGTTAAATTCATGAGTCAATTAAAGCTATACCACTATGGAAAACCTGGAAGCATTGAGCAGTTGTTTCGTCCTAATATAGGATTCCTCAGCAGTGTGAATCCACGATCACGTACCAAACGGATCCCAAACCCAAAATTTTCAGTCTCATATTCGAACACTTAACCTTTAGACCACTAAGTCGACCACAATCCAACAATTTTAATATCTCTCATTTCAACCAAATCATGATATCATTGTGAATTATATCAAATCTATATTGTATATACCTCGATTCAACCCCCCCCCTCTTTTTTTTCTTACACTGTTTAGTACATGTTTGATTGGAGCACAAATTAAAACTTGACATAAAGTTGTATTCATATTTCTTTTTGACATTACTGTTAAAATGAAGGAATCAAAGAGATCATATTAGTAATAAGCAATTGTCAATCAAATTATACAACAAATATATGATCAAGTGTAAACATTCTAAGTATAAGTTTTTTGAGGTGAGGTGAGGGGAGGGGAGGGAGAGGGGAGAGGAGGGGAGGGGGGAGGGGAGGATCAAAATGTATTTGACATTTTGTTTCATAGTAATTCTATGTATATATATGTCATTAATAAGTACATTAGTAGTAGTTATAGTAAGTTTTATTTTGGTTTATGATTTTCATGTATAAATGACACAATGTGTGACACAATGAATAGGTAACCGTTTTTTTTACATAAATGATGATATCAAACAAAAGATGGTTATATTGTAATGTGGGTTACTTATATCTACATAAGTAGTATATAACGGTGGTCAGGCATAGAATGTACTTCAGTAGAAGGTCGATGACGGAAGAACGGGAACGGAACGCCATTAGTATGAAAACGTATGAACAATGAAATCTGAGATAATGGAATGATGTTTGCAACAGGAACAGTCAAGTTTGATATGATGGATTGATATTTTGCAAATTACTATGGTTCTCAGATTTTAGTGAGATTCTCTGTGATGATGAACTCAATTACATTTGAATGTCCCCACTGATGTTCTGTTCACTACAACATTACTATTGAATATGAAGTGATCATTAGAATAGTATGGTATATCGCCTGTATGTACACAAAGAATGAGACCGTAATCAAGAAAAATTGCTTTCAATTACCAAGATAATTTACAAAGTTATTTGAGATGGTGGAGAAGATTTGTAGCTCAGGTGGATGATTTTGGTGGTGTTTTGTTCTCTGAGCTGGATGGTTTGGTCGTGGAGCTTTCATCGTTCTTCGAACACTTCACTTCTATCTGAAGTTTGTGCTGATGATGTCGTTCAGAAGAACGATGAAAGCTCCACGACCAAACCATCCAGCTCAGAGAACAAAACACCACCAAAATTACAAAGTTATTATCTATTTATTTGAACATATAAATATTGGTACAAAGGACCACTGATTACATTTGCAACACAAAGTCACTTGATTTGTGTGTGTGTGTGTGTAGGGGGCTGTGATACTGCCCGGATGCCCAAACCGAAGCATCTAGTTTTCTTAGGGGGTCACACTTGGAGCCTTTGATCTATAGGTCTAATCCAGGAGGCAGTGGAGCAAAGTTAGGAGATGCAGTCCTATGGTAACCATTGACCAACAACTGGTTCATACACTATTTATTCCCTCAGGATCCTAGAGACCATGTGCACCATTTATTTGCAATCAGAGTTTTCCAACTTCCCTAGGTGGACCCTCTATGTCCACTCAATCATAGGTGTCTTCGAAGCAGTGCTCGTATATCCTGAGACCACTGAGTATTGATAAGTCATGTTAATTTGAACGCTTTATTTGCTTCCTAAGCTATTCTGGTAACCCACAAGCTAGAACTACACAGCGACCTGAACTCGAGAGAAAAGGCGCAAAATAAGTGAAAAACACTTTACTCCAAAGGTTCATTTTTGTACAGAAAAACACCGGTATTTATAGATGTTAACAGTTGTTAAATCAACATCATATTTTTGCCAATCCGCCAAAAGACATATTATGCTACCGATCAATAGTAGCACGCCAAGTTGACATTCTAGAAAGCTCCACTATGTTCTGATTAGCTAGGGCTCTTCGGCTTCTTTAGGGCCTCTGAAGGTTCCGTTGCAGTTCTCGGAAAGCCGACTCAACAAGTATATAATGCAGGTGTTAGGAAACGGGTACTCGGTAAGAATGGCAAATCACTTGATGAAGTAGTAAAACTTCAACAGTTCGGATGACTAAGACATGTGTTCCGTATGTCCAACCACCGACTGCTTCGACGAGCGATGTTTTATGCTGTTAGAGTAGGTTAGAAGAAAGCTTCTGAGGAGTCCCACAATAGGACGAAACCGCCGTTCAGTTCTTTCAGGTTTCCAACGATGATCTAACATCGATCGATTCATGATCTCAACCAAAAACCAAAACTTTCAATTATCTTTATTTTCTTCTTTCATTTCTATCTCTCCTTCTTCTTCTTCTTCTTCTTCTTAAGCTTCACTCGAACTTTATTTATTTTTAACTAATTTCTCCTTTCTTTTTGTGATATTCTATAAACAGTCGTTAGAACAGCTGATTAATTATGAATTCGATATAATCACAACAACAACAATGTGGGGAGTGGGGGGTTTGTTTGTTTTCTTATTCTTCTTCTTCCTCGTCCTCTTCTCCTTCTTCTTCCTCTTCTTTATGTTCTTCTCATGTTATACCCAAATTGACTTGATAAACAATTATCATTAGAATAAACATACACATTTCTATTTTGTATACCATTTACAACAACAGTACCATTTTCCCTTTTTGTTTTGTTTTGTTTTGTTTTCTTCTTCTTTTTTTCTTTTCTTTGAAATTGACATATACCATACGACGTGTAATAAATGTAAACTAAGGTTATCAGTTTCTATTGTGTTTGATTACATGTTATTTATAAATAAAAACAAAATGTGTTCGTTTGTTTGTTTGTTTGTCTGTTTGTGTGTGTGTGTGCGTGTTTATTTGTGAGTGTGTGTGTGTGTTTGTTTATTTTTTGTGTATTTTGTTTGTTTTGTTTTTCTCGTTAAATAAAAGAAGAAAAAAATATCCTTAATGGTTACATAGTTGTTTCATCTAGCTCTGTTGTTTACTAAAAGAAGAAGAAGAGAGAAACAGCGAGAGAGAAAGAGAGGGGGGAGAAAAGAGAGAGAAAAAGAGAAGAAAAGAAAAACTCGACGGGATTATATTACACATAAAAAAATAAAATAAACAGCATGAATCAGTTGTAATAAATAAGCATAATAAAATAAATGAACAATAGGTCACCGATTATGTAGTTAACCTTCATGGAATTATCCTTCTTCTTCATCATCATCATCATCATGATCACCATCCTCCTCATCAACACTGTCTTCTTCTTCTTGTGTCTATTAAGTTTGACCTTTACAGAGATTATTTTTTTCTATTTTCGTATTTTGTTTTTGATTTTCTCTATTCAATTATGTACTAATGATAATAAACAGGCTACCAAGAGAGCAGGAGTGAAGAGGAACGGGGGGAGGGAAAACTGATTATTATTATTATTATTATTATTATTATTATTATTATTTTGATTAATTGAGGTGAAAGTATTTAGTTAGTTTCATAGTTGTCTCCCTTCAAAAAACAAACAAACAAACAATGTCATGGAATAATTATAATGTAATGGACAGTTGTTTTATTATTTTGTACTTTTGTACCCCCTTGGGTATATACTCTTAAACTATTTTTTTTTTAAAAATGATAAATAAACCAAATTACTAATCTATATCATAGTTATGAATAATGTTTCAATTCAAGATGCCTTAGTTACTTACGCCTGTTACTCCTTGTGGAAAAGTATAGACCGCCTATTAGCACTCTCCATTGAATTCTATCTTGAGCAATCCTTTCCAGTTCTTTACAGTTGTTATTCATCTTTTTTCATTTCGGCTTCCAATTGCCGATGTAGTGTGTTCTTTAATCTTCCTCTTTTCCGTTACGGTTCAGGATTCCAAGATAGCACTTGCTTTGTGATGGAGTTTGATCATTTCCGTAATGTATATCTTATCCATTTCCAACGTCTTTTCTAATTTCCTCTTCAGATGTAAGTTGGTTTGCCCTTGCCCACAGTAGGGGCTGTTGTGGATGGTTTCCAGCCTGCGGATATTGAGTATCTTGTGTGGACAACTGTTTGTGAATACTTATACCTTCTTATTGATGGTGGTGGTAGTTCTTCACGTTTCTGCTCCATATAGTAGAACTATCTTGATGCTTGTTTTGAGGATTCTTACTTTGATATTTGTTGACAGTTGTTTTGAATTCTATATGTTCTTCAATTGTAGGAATACGCCGTTACTTTGCCAATCCTCTCCTTTTAGTCAGCATCCGATCCTCTTTGTTCATCGATGATGCTTCCCAGGTACGTTAAGGACTCCACATCTGCTAGGGTTTCGCTATCAAGTGTGATTTGCTGGGCTTTCTCTGTTTTGTATTTGAAGATCTTGCTTTTTCCTTTGCGTATGTTGAGGCCTACTGATGCAGAGGCCGCAGCTACTCTAGTTGTCTTCATCTACATTTTTTCGCGTGTATGGGATAGGAGGGCCAGTTGATCTGCAAAGTTTGGTTGATTCTGAGCTGTCTATTGTAGTCCGTGCTTTCCTTTCAGATGTCGAGATCTTCATAATCCAGTCAACTACCAGAAAAAAGCGAAAGTGGGAGAGTAGACAGCCTTATCTGGCTCCTGTCCTTACTTGGAATGCATCTGTCAACTGACATATCACTAAATACTCCATCAAACAAGGTTTCAGTCTAGAAATCATTTTCATCTGAATAAAAAATTTCAAACATCGACTTAATTTAAAACTACTGTGACTGCTAGTTGACATGACTGTTTGTGAAACTAATTCACTTCAACGGTTGTATTGTTCATCACCTTGACAGGTTACTTACGTACTTACTTATGCCTGTGACCCCGACTGAAGCATAAGCCGCTGACCAGTAATCTCCAAACCACTCTGTCCTGGGTTTTCCTTTCTAGTTCTTGACAGGTTACATTTGCCATTTAGTGACTGAAAAATTTTGTATTCATTCACTTCCATAGTTTTGTTTAATTGACAAGTGATAAGATTTTGTTTACTTCTAATCAAGTAACTGAGATATACTACTCACAGGTATTGCACTTTATCATTATAAATATCCTTTCTCTTTATTTTAAACAGGCATGCCCTGATATGCATAATAGTAGTATATCTAAATTTCTCGGAGCCAAATGGAAATCTATGAGTGCTGAAGTTAAACAACCATATTATGAAGAACAAGCTCGATTAAGTCGTCAACATATGGAAGAACATCCAGCTTATCGTTATAGACCACGTCCAAAGCGTACATGTATTGTTGATGGTCGAAAATTACGTATATCTGAATATAAAGAATTAATGCGTTCAAGAGGTGATTCATCACGTAGACAATGGATTGGTTCAACAGATGAACAAGCTCAAAAAATTGTAGAAGATATTTTAGGTAAGTGTATTTTTTTGAGTTAATACCATACACATGAGGACAACCGCTTACATCTAGTACATGATTACAGAGTTACTTGATAAACCATACTCCCAAACTTCACTTGTAAAATGTTCATTCATTGTTTCAGACTTCATTGTTTCTGCATTTCCATAGCAATCATTCTTTGTTCCCATCCTTTTCTCCTCGATCTTCTCAACCTTCTACTATCGGGCATTCTATTACTCATTTGTGTTATATACTACTTATATCGATATAAGTAGGATACATCACACCATTACTAGAAATCGCAAAAACTTTCAAATTACTTAAGTGTTTAAACATAACTTTATGATTGTTGTTTACACATATAACAGTTTAAAGTTTTATTTAAAGTGTATTATATTATTAATTACACTGATAATTACCATATGCTCACTAGTGACTAGCTTCGTGAGGGGATTCTCGAAGTTCTAGTGAGAGGCGAATCCGTGTCAAGTAGAAACAGGTATCTATCTCAGTACAATGGAAAATGGTCACACAATTTCGTGGACTAGTTGAAGTTAGACATTAATACCACTGGATTACGGCCGACTCAGTGGTCTAGAGATTAAGCGTTCGGACGTGAAACCAAAGGTTCTGGGTTGGATGTGTACTGGTGAGGAGTCACACAACAAAACGAAACTGATGTCTAGTGCTTTCAGGAATTCAGTGATAGTCTAACATTAGTCGGTTTATGATCTCAATCAAAAAGTATTACGTTTGTTTTAACACATTTACATAACGTCTTTTATTCCCAATGAAATGTAATAATCAACATTTTATTCCATTTAGAAGTCATCGTTTGATTGTTTTTATTTCCCATTATAAATCTATGTTTGATAATATGATAACAAATAAAATCAAACGACCTACTAAGAGTTGAGAATAAACATCTATCATCCTCTTTTGTCAAATACGTCGTTGAAACCGGTCATAAAATGGGGCTTTTGTGATGTTGTGCACAAGAGTAAAATGGAGTATACTAAAGTTTATTGAAACCTTAGCCATATGAAAATGTGAACCTCCTTTGTGTATTCGTTGATTGATTGAAGCTAGACATTAAAACGGTTGAATGCCGGCTGACTCACTGGTTTAAAGGTTAAGCATTTGCTCATAAGACCGAAAAGTTTGAGTTCGAATCCTGCGTGTAGGACCGTGGATGCACACCATTGAGGAGTTCTATACTAAGACGAAACGGCTATCCAGCACTTTCAGGTTTCCAATTATGGTGTAGCTTAAATCAACCCATGAATTCAACTATTAAATATCGTTTCTTCGAATTATTTTGAATTATCTACAAACAATATTTAAAGAAATATTCTATTAACTACAACTATTCTCGTTAATAAATATAAAATGCATGATCCTCTTAAGCAAAGATAGATAGTGGCTAGCAGTGAAATCCAGTTTGACACGCGTTTCGTCCTATTTGTGACTTGTCAGTTGGATGTACCTGCATCCCACAGTTGATATTTACTCCTGAACTCCAACTCAGTACCGTTCGCTTCAAACCCCATCGTGTTATCCACTTAACTACTGAGTCCTGATAACCACCTGCTTGTGCTGACAAGTCTCAAATAGGATAAAACGCACCCCAAACTGAATTCCACTCCTAGCCATTATCCATCTTTGCTTTAAAAGCTTATGACTTAAGGCTATACCGAAACAATCCACACATATGCCAACATGAGATTGATCAATTTCAATCTTAAATAACAATGGGAAGATATAAGTAAAAACTAAACCAAGTGAATGATTCTCTTTGCTTGATTTTTATCTTTCTACCATTTCCCATTCCATTCTCTCTTTCTTTCTTTCTTTCTTTCTTTCTATCAAACTATCTCTCTCTCTCTCTTCTTTCAACTGTCTTTCTCTGAATCAGATAAACAAAAGCCTAATCATTACTGTAATTCATTAAAGTACACTACAGTTTCTTCAACATCTTTGCTTATTATTAATATGATAATGATTGTTATTGTTATTGCATTATTTGTTGTTTATGGTAATTGTGTGAAAAATAATGATCAAAAGTTTGTTTATTTATTTATTTATTTATTTGTATGTTAGTGTTCTCTTCAGCTTTTCAATATTTCGTTTATCTTAACTATAATGGGATTGTTTCTAAGAGGGTGGAGATGATTTGTATATATACATGTCTTTGCCTATCAATACGTGTATACATGATAAAGTGCACCATTGTAAAACCTTTGAAGTCTTTCATACTTAGTCATATTTAATTGAATCCATGATGTAATATAAGCAACCTTACCGTAACTTAAGGGATATGAAGTTGGGGGGAGGGAGGCAGGAAGGGAGGGAGGTAAATGAATACTAAAGGTAAAACTAGGCTAACTATTTTTGTTTTCTAAATGTAAACGTCTATACGAATGGTATAGTTACAATGCTGTTTCACACTTTCTTTCTTTTTGAATATTTTTATTCTTAAATGTTGATCTTTAATCAATGAAATAATAAAGGAGAATATCTTATGTTGATAGGGGTAGTAACAATAGTATACCAGCTATAATAATCATAATAATAGTAGTAATAGTAATGGTAATTATGTGTGTATATTATGTAACTAACATAGAATTTTATTGAAATCATAAACCAACCTTTTTTTCTATCATATCCATCTATGTAATCAACTGAAAAATGGTATATCATCTATTTGTTTATTTAAAAGAGAATAAGATCAAATGTTCCGCTTCGTTTCTTTTTGTGTGTGTTATTGTTGAAAATTCAGTACATCAGTAGTATTTTAAACAAAGGCCATGAGTGTATGTGTGTGTGTGTGTGCATGGGTGTGTGTGTGTGTGTAAATGTAAATGGATTAGTATTTGGATATGTAACTCTTATAGGATGAGTTGTTAGTGCATGAATATGTATCAATCTGGGATATGTATAGAGAAAAAACAAATAGGAATAGCAGGTTGTACAATGTAGTACACTTGACTATAATAATGTTAATTTGACCATTATATTGAAAAAAGATCATTATTGTATGTACCTCTTACCCTCCACCGCCCCCCCCCGATTATGTATATGTATTTTTATTATTATTATTATTATTATTATTATTATTATTATTATATCTAATCGGTTCATTTAGTTCAATTGAATGTAAACATTAGCACTCAATGTTATATTCATCTTTAGTTATATACACTTAGATACAATTACTATTATACATGTATATATACATGATATAGATAAATGAAGGATTATTTATATGCTCAAGTTTAATAGATTGTACAGAGTATTCTCATTCGAAACCCACTTTAAAGCATGACTCAGTATGTCTTTCAAAGATTCTGAAGCATTTCAAATTATAGAGAAATAAGTAACCATCAGTATAGGTCCTGGATTTGAATCCTGTGAACAGGATCATGGATGCACATTGTTGAGGAGTCCCACACAATAGGACGTCACATCCATCCAGTGTTTTCAGGGTTTTCAATGGAGGTGTGATATCATCAATCGATTCATGATTTCAATCAAATAGGTAATCCAATGATTTAAGCTTAAATTCTCTGTATTAAAGAGATATGTCAAATCTCCCATTATAACATAGTTTTAAAATCCTTCCTATTTATTCTGATTAATCATCAGTTATTACTATTGTTCAGTCATACATTAGAGAGTAGAAGAGAGGATTAGTTTCAGCATCTCAGAGTCTACTCCAAAGAAGCTGAGACTAAAATGACAGGAGTGCAATTGCATACCATGACCACTTGACAGTGGTCATCTATTTCATGTTTTAAGCATCATATAATTTTTTTGATTAAGATCATAAATCGATTGATGTTAGACTAACACTGAAATCCTGGAAGCACTGGAAGGCCATTTTGTCCTATTATGGGCCTCCTCACTAGTGTATATCTACGATCCGGCTTGTGAGATTTGAACCCAGGACCTTCGGTTGTGGAGTTTGTTGAATGTCATTCAAATCATGAACTGGTTAAAGGTAAACCAACAATGAAAACCTGGAAGCACTGAACGAACGTTTCATCCTATTGTGGGACTCCTCAGCAGTGCGCGTCCATGATCCACCTCTCAGAATTCGAACCCAGAACTTTGTCTCTCGTGCGAATGCTTAACCTTTAGACCACTGAGCCGGCCAGACTCCAACGGTGTTAATATTTAATCTCGACCAATCCACAAAATTGCGCTGGACTGAAGGCCTTGTGTTCAAATCCCGAGAGCGAGATCGTGGATGCGCACTGCTGAGGAGTCCCACACAATAGGACGTCACATCCGTCCAGTGTTTCCATGGTTCTCAATGGAGGTGTAATATCATCAATCGATTCATAATCTCAATCAAAAACTTAATAATCTCCATAACCCTATACGGACTTCTAGTTGATTACCGCTTTAAGTATAATAGTATCATGTTTCCGCTCTCTTGATGACTTGATTCCACTTAGATGAATTGTTTAATGAATAATGATAAATACCTAGTACAAAACAAGAATTACTCTTGATAAAGACACACTTCTGGTTTTTTTTTTCATACATTCAATCACAGAATAGTCGTATGAATCTTGTTTAAACATTCTAACTATGAAATATGATAGATTGTATTATGCCATTCATCATCAATAGATTCCTGTACCAATGAAAGTAATAGATAGATAAGACAATATTTTAACGTAAACAATCTTCAACTAATATCGATCAGTAGTATAGTGTTAATGACAAAACTGATGTCATAAAGAACAGTATCATTCTCTTCTTTTTTGTCATATTTTATTCTATTGTATACATAAGAGAATTTAGGTAGATGGTTATTAGTATAGGGTTTGTGGAGATTATTAATTTCTTTTAATTGAGATCGTGAACCGATTGATGTTAGATCACCTTTGGAAACCTGGAAGCACTGGACGGCCGTTTCATCCTATCGTGGGACTCTTCAGCAGAGCGCATCCACGATCCTGCTCGCGGGATTCGAACCCAGCGCCTTCGGCATCGCGCGCGAACGCCTAACCTACTGGACCACTGAACCGGCATCCAATTACTATTATTATTATTATTATTATCATTATTATTATTATTATTATTATTATTATTATTATTATTATTATTATTATTATTATTATTTAAACATATAAACAGTGGTCCAAGGAGGCACCAAATAGATATGCACCATATAAATCATTCGATTTGTATGAGGGATGGGATACTGCCCGAGTGCCCAAACTGAATCAGGTGGTTTTCTTAGGGGACTAATCTGCAAACCTTTGACCTACAGATATGATTCACAAGGTAGTGTAGCAACGTCAGGAGATTCAGTCTCACTGTAGTCAGTCACCAACGATTGGTTCATATGCCATTTGTTGCTTTAGGATCCTGTATCACATGTGCATCATTGGTTTGGAATCAGGGTTTCCTAACTTCTCTAGATGAATTATCCATATCCACGAACTTGTTTAAATCGCCGGACATTCGCTTTTTGTCCTCTCAATTTTGTAAAGGACACCCTCAATGTGAGAAGGTAGTGAATAGAACTTCCCTGTCAGTGATTGTATGTAGGTGGCCATGTGAGAGCATTTAGAGAGGGAGAGTGGACTCTTCCCACTGTCGGTCGTACCAAGACATTTTAGGGGGGAGAGGAGAATGAAATTTTAAACCAATCCAAATAGGTTGTTGAAACAATGTTCTATAGATTATAAAGTAGACTAAGGTATTTCAGCGTAGATATGATAAAATGTATCCAATATGAAATCAATATTTGGGTAATGTTTTATTGCCTGTCATTTCATATTGTTTACTGTACAAACATATATTGATTTATTTTTATAACTATGACCAGTTAACTACAAAATGAACACTAAAGTAATGTGAATGATTGATTATGTAATGATCATATGGATCTTCCTATTGATGTTTAAGACTACAATTGATCAGTCTCTTATTGGTATATATATATAAATCTCAAAGTGAACATCAACTGTGAAATACAGATACATTCAGCTGACGAGTCTCAAATAGGACGAAATGTCACACTTCCTGGATCCCACTACTAACCACTAGCCACTTTTGATTAGAATGCTTTACTTTGTACTCTTAATGTTCTGCAGTAGTAGTAGTAGCAATAATAATGATAATAACGATATGAAGAACCTTACATTAAGTGAAAACGAAAATTGAATAAATAATATTCATAAAGCATGTATTACCTATGTCTCTCTCTGTGTGTTTGTGTGTGTGTGTGTGTGCATGTATGCGTTTATCTCTGTGTGGTAATTCAGTTTAATAAGAAATAGGTGCATTTTGTGATATATTCTTGCTATTGTTGTTGTTGTTGCTTCTTCACCGATTAGAATGAGATTCTGTTTCTATCTGTCTTTATTGTTCTCCTTCTCTCTCTCTCTCTTTCTCTCAGACAGACGCAGACACACACATACACTTTCTCGCTCCGTTTTTGTCTTTTGTTTCAAAATTTAACAAACCGATTAGAACTGACACTTAAACAACTTTTGTTTCTTCAATTTTTTTCTCTCGCTGTTATTCTCTTTTTTCTCCTCCTCCTCCTCTTCTTGTTCTTGTTCTTGTTCTTGTTCGTTCTCGTTTGCCTTCAGTCTGTATTAGTCTCCTTTTTTTGTTATATATATTTTCCAATGCTATTTCGACATTGGAATGATGTGAAGTAAAGGGTTTACTAAACATATCATATAATACAAGTTAATTATTCTGTACATTACATGATAACCAAGTATATTTATACAGTTTTTTCTCCTATATATATATACTACTCATAATCCTAAGCTTATGTTTCTATGGTTAATGGGGTAATATGTAATAATGTATATAAGAGAAAAACAAAAAAAATAGAAAGAAAAAACAGAGTGAATACAAAGTTATAAATGATTTTGACATCGGCATCTAAAACAACAGTGGTGGCAAGTAATAAACGATTTAATGATGATGATGATGATGATGATGATGATGATGATGATGATTACTATTATCATCATCTCTACATCAATTCCTTTCAACCTTTGTTCACAACAATCATCACAAGTAAAATTTAAACACGTACACCCACACCCACACCCACACACAGAGGTACACGCATATATACACAGCAGGGTAACTTAGTAATACATTTCAATTTAGTCTTGTCATTTCACCACCTATTTACACAATATCATTCAGTTGTTCAATTCTTTCAGTCTATCTTTTTTCTTTCGTGTTGTTGCTTCTTTTCTTCTTCTTTTTTCTTCTTCTTGTTTTTACAACTTCACTTCTTTTGTTACTAAACATTGTCTTGTTTCTTTTCTTCATAGTTAGTTAACTGTTGTATGTATATCAGGATAATAATTATGATTTGTTGTTGTTGTTGTTGTTGTTAACAGTAGTATAATGAAAATATATTTAATTTTCTTTTTTGTTTTAACAAATTTACTTGTTGTTACATTTTCATTTACCTTTTCCTATCTTCTATAATCCACTTCAAACTATTAAAATATTATCGTTGATTAACACATTGAAAAGTTAAATAATAACAATAATAGTAATCCTTGTTCTTTCAGTTACCCTTTTCTTTTAGTTACTATGTCTATTACACTTGGTGCGTGCGTGTGTGTGCTTGTGTGCGCCTGTATATAAATGTGTGTACGCACATTTGTGTGTATGTTCTTCGTCTACTTTTTGGTTTTACTTTACTCTTCATAGTAATGATATGCTTTGTGTTGAAAGACTGAGAGTGTGTGGTGTGTGTGGGGGGGGGTGAAAGAGAGAGAGGGTGTGTGTGTATACATTGGTGAATAGTTTAAGTTTTTTACTAACAACAAACGCCAAACATGATGTTGTAAAATATTATAGATTACAACCTATCAATGTTAGAAAATATACAACAACAATGGAAAGAACTATTCTATGCAAATATTGATATCATTAATAACAATGGTGTTAATGCCACCAAGAGATTACAACATAAATTGTCAAAATAATAATAGTAATCATCATAATAATGATTGAAACAAAATAACAGATTATCATCATTACAACTATGTAGTTTGTATTTCTCCTAGTTCTTCAAATGATTACATATTTGTACATGGATGTATGTGTGTGCGTGTGTGTGTGTGTGTGAGGGTGTCTGTAAACATGTAATGTTCATATGTTATATGTACAATGATAGACTATTATCTGTTTCTAGGGTTACATTTCATTGAAGTTAAACTGAAGATGAAACATGAAAAGAGGAAACAAAAGACTTTAATTACTGTTACTATTCGTTCATAATAATCTATGGGTAATTTCATACAAACTGTACATGTAAATGAAACTATGAAAAAAACAAAACAACTAACATATAAACCTTTGAAATATTGAGAAGAAGAAAAAGAGCTATTGAATGAATGGAATCCCTAATAATCAGTAGTGTAAAGTTCTCTTTTTTTGTTCTTGTTGTTGCTGTTGGTGGTGGTGGTGGTGGGTGATGGTGGTGGTGGGTGGTTAAAATGTCCTAGAAGATACCCTCTACTTTATGTTTACAATCGATAAGCCCTTAGATATAACATGCTAATCGATGAGCACATAAATAGTAATAAGCAAATACATTCTGAGTACAAAATTGTAGATTGATTTAATAAAATATGAATACTATACGTTTCATACTTCATTTGGAATAATGTTCATCAATTGTCTGAGAGTCGATTGTTCCTCCATTTCCACAGTAATCATTCTCTATTCCTATTCTCTTGTATTCGATCTTCTTAACCATCTTCTGATAGGCATTTCATTTCTGATTGGTGTTATATACTACTTATATCCGTCGATATGAGTAGCATATAACACAGTCGTATCTGTTAACCACTATCTGAACACATGAAATGGTATAAACACTAATGAGCTTTCCTTTCAGAAAATAATTTAATATACTAACTTAAGTACCACGAAAAAGAAAGTAAGAATGATTATTGTTATTTCATTAAAGACGTTTATAAAATGTTCATTATTTGACATAAACATGTACTGTCAGTGACTACGTTAAGCCCATATACCTTATCCCAGCTACTGGCTATACTAATTAATCTATTCTTCTTGAGTCACATTTTCACCTTGTTAATTATTTGATTATCAATCTTGACTGTTTTTATGTACGCTTAAGTTGTTTGCCCTTCTTATCCCATTCATCACATATCTACAACTTATTACTTGCTTACTTACTTACACCTGTTATTCCCAGTGGAGAATAGGCCACCGACCAGCATTCTCCAACTCACTCATACTTTACTGAGCCTTCCCTCGTAGTTCTATCAACTTATTGTTCATTCTTCTCATATCTGTCTCCATTTCTCGGCGTAATTTGTTCTTCGAGATAGTAGAGAAGATTTGTAGCTCAGATGGTTGGTTTTGATGGAGTTTTATTCTCTGAGCTGGATGGTTTGATCGTGAAGCTTTTATCGATGAGAAAAACTTCATCAACGTAATGGTTTTCCTCTTCTCTTTTACTCTTGAGAATTCCAATTGAGAGCTTACCTTGTGACACAGCAAGGTGCTTTCCTCAATATATGTCCTATCCACTTTAAACGCTTCTTCCTGATTTCTTCCTCCACTGGAATCTGGTTTGTTCTCTGTCACAGTAGGTTGTTACTGATAGTGTCTGGTCAACGGATTCGAGGATAAATGACATATATGTTTTTAATAACATCCAGGTGATCTTAATGGAGTCAGATTAAGATCCCATAAAATAAACACACCATTTTTTTTCATGATACGAATTTAAACTACTTATTTAACGATTATTTAGTAGTATTATGTCAACTTTAAAAAACTAAACCCAATAAAAACTGTTTCAACATTATTAAACATATTTATATATTCTTTTTCAATTATAGATAATACACTATCATCTATACCACAATTAAGTCCATCATTAAGTCCAATGAATGAATATGATAGAGAGTTATTATCTTCTAATAAAAATGATAATATCATTCAAACTATACCAATGATCTATTCAGAACAATCTATCATGACGAAAAAGGAACAAATTAAAGAAGAAGAAGAAGAAGAAGAGAAAGAAGAAGAAGAAAAACAACAACAAAAGATTAAAAAAGAAAATGATTCAATACAAATATTCAATAATAAAACGGATTATGTACTCATAACAGAAAATAAAGAAGAAAAAGAAAGCGAAAAAGAAAATAAAGAAAAAGAAAGACAAGAAGAAGAAGAAGAAGAAATCGATATAGAAGAAGAATCAATCAAAACGTGTATAATTGAATTCGACACTGATAAAGATGATAATCATATGTGCCTTAATAATACATCAAATTCATGATCTCATCAATTGATTCATTAACACAGTCCCTGAAATCTTACAAAATATATTGAATAACCTTCTTTTTTCTTTCTTCTTCTTCTGAATACAAGATGATATTACTTATTATTATTAAAAATGAAAATTGATTTTTTTTCGTTTCTCTCTTGCAAACATAAACTTACGTTGAGATTCTCATTTATGAACGAACCAATCAGAGTGAAGAGAACAGGTCTTCAAATTTTTGGCGCGAAATTCATTGGTTCATTTGGATAAAATAGAGTTTTGATATGATAGCTGATATACTATAGTTCATCGTCCAAAACACTAATTATTAACTGTGAATCATAATCTTTATTCTTTATAACAAGTTCATGATCTTCATTTGATTCTAGTGTGTTTAGGTGAGGTGAACATTCTCAAGGTCAGTCTAATGTCATTTAAAAAGCATTTATAAATTATAATCTCATTTAAATTTCTTCAAAATGATTATGTAATCAATTGATTAGAATGTATCATTGTTTCTATAGTAACATTCTATTTCATTCTTTCTCTCTCTCTCTCTCTCTCTCTATATATATATATATATATATATATATATATATATATATATATATATATATATATGATGGATTGAATTGTTTTAAATCATAATTTCAAGATAAGTTGATCTGTTTTTCTTTTTTTTATTGTAATAAAAAGCGTCCTTTCTTGTGTAAACTAGACAATCAAACTATCAATTGATTCACTAATTCAATTATGTTTTTCAATGTTGTACATAGTTTTGTATAGTTCAAGTTATATGCGTATAATGAATAGGAAAATATTGTTGTAAATTGACATACTATTACTGATTAATTATTTACTTATGAAATTTTAACTACTTATTAAATTTATAGTAATATAAATATATAAACAAAATTTGTTTAATCATTGAATTGGTTTAGGTATTCTATCTTATCATTATAATTTGTTTCTTTTCTTGCATTTACATTTTATACTTCTGTTTATGTATCTATATCTATATGCTTTTACATTTTTAACCCAATAGAACGTATATAAATGTATATATATACATATATATATTGTGGTGTTTGAATGAACTCATGATTCCTTTGTACTTGTTGAATGCTTGATTTCGAATTATAAATACAGTACATTGGTTTGTGCTTATCTAGCACTTCTTGATCCGATTACGTTATTTCTGGGATTCTTAGTTCATACTATAATTCAAGTACTCCTAATCATCATAACATATATATATCCATCCATAATATTATATTTGTTTATAAGACTGTTCTGTATGATTATGATTATGATTGACACTTTGAAAGAGTTGAATTCTTATGGAGCTTTAGTGAATGAGAACACACAAGTGGGGATAATCGAATGTGTTTGAATATAAAATTATAGAATTACTTAGTAAAATCTGAAAAGCATATAGTAAATACTTCATTTGCAAAATGTCTATTAATTGTCTCAGATTTTGTTGTTTCTTCATTTCCATACCAATTGCTTTCTGTTCTTGCTCTTTTTTTCTCGATCTTCTGCTGACAAACAGACTATTCCTGATTAAGGTGTAGTGTGGAGTCGAGTCGAGATTGACTATGAACACCACTACAGGAAGACTACGTGCCAGTTAACCGATAAAATCCCCAGTAAGCCAAATATCAGAAGACAGTTGATGGCTGTAGTCGAAATGTATTTGTTGACGATCTCGTGGTATCGAAAGAACACCGAGATCGTGCCAAGGGAGTACAAGTATGACTACTGAGTGCGACGGAATCCGTGCAAGGACACAATCTTGCGAAAAATACGATAACCAGAAGATACGATTTGAACCATTTAAAATCCGCTCTGAGAGTTGAAGGGTCTTCATTCAGAACAATTATGACGCCTTATGATGAAAGTTAAGATTATCCGAGAATTACAAGGCTGATGTTCATTCTAGGAATCAGTGCAACAAATAATATAAGTAAGTTGAATGTCCGGATAATTTGAGAGACTGGGAGAACCGATCAAACAACTGCGGAAATAAGGAGATACAACTTGCGGTGTTCTTAATAAATAAAATTCATTGGGTCCAAGCCGAATAGGAAAAGGTAAATTCGAGAAAGACACCAACGTACTCTGTTGATGATGAAAAAGTTGCTACACACGCACAGAGAGTTCCATTGATGTCATCTAAAGGAGCACAAAAAGCACCTGTAGGATGGGAATGAGATGGATTCAGGACCATCAAAGAATTCTTTAAAACAAAGAAGAAGGGGATTACAGTGAATATTATTCAAAGTTACCACCCACCGAAGATGATAATGATCAGTTTTATGAGGTGGTAAAGTCGGTCGTATAGAAGTGCATGGGGAAGGGCCTGACGATCCTGATGGAAGGTTTAATAGTCAAAGTCAAAGTGGACAACAACGGTTATAAAGATATTACTGGACGACATGTACCGCGTCCGATTATAGAAAAAAACACAGAAGATATGGCAGAATGAATTCGGTCAGCATTCCACGTATCACATTAAGTAAACTTCGACTAAAACGTCCTACCCGAGCACGACGTTGAAACCCATTTGATGAAAGGTTCCAAGCGGAAACATTAATTTTATTTTAGAGTAGGCCATAAATATAGACGTGAGTTCAATCAACATCATATCATAACATCAACATTACACTTTACGGGGAGATTCATGACAAATCACTAAAAAAAGAGCTCACATGTAAGGAAGGACGATAAAGGTAAATCCCACCTCGAACGACCTTTCATCCAACGTGACCACGACTCCCTCAGTGGATAGATTTAAGGGTGGATTCAACAACACGTGTTTTATGGACTGGAACTGTTGTGTTGGCGTGATTTGCACTCGCCAAAATTTCAGTTTCCAGATACAACAAAATATTATTTATCATTCAAAGAACCTATCTTGGGCCTAATGTTCGATAGGTTATTCTTTCTTTGAGTTTTATTTGAATTAATGTTGAACTAAGGTTTTGCCTCAGATTACCATGAAGTGTTCGCAGCTTTTCACAATAAAACCCTATTTCTAGTACTTCTTGAGCGTGAAAGACACCAGTTTTTGTCCATATTAATTACTTTTCTTCCCACTTGTGAACTTTCTATCCTATTTCTATATACAATTTTACTAGCAGGTTTTACTTAACCGTGATCACCAAAAACACATGTAAGCGGCCAAGCTCCCGACTTTCTATTAACTACAGTATGCAATGTGGGAATGTCAAAGTGTGCATAATGAAAAAAGCATATATCTCACTACAACTACTTGAAACAGATTCAGTAATTCAGATTGAAACTGGTCGGGTGAAAAATGTGATACAAATATCGACGAGATTTCGAGTAATATCATTAATTCTCCGGCAAGAATACGCAAAAGCTGTCAATCACTTTGAGAGAAACAGTCTCAAAATGGATAACTAACCGGAAATGCACCAGGAGGTAAAACGAGGACCACCTTTACACAAATATTGGTGGACCAGGGGTTAGCATCAATAAATGTATTCTGAAATCAGCACTGCCATAAAATCAAGAATCGCATATTCTCTCTGCGAAATGGTGTCTCTAAGCCTCTTTAAACGTAAATGTGGTCTCCAAAGTTTGCCATTGTAGGGGACAAGGCTCCTGTGAACGGAGCTAAAAGAACAAAAGATCGTTATCCGAAGTGTTCAACGGTTTATTTCTCTTAAAAACTTAGTTAATACACTGGAAGGGGAATCTGCTCTCAAGGTTGACAAACCGGCTAATAAAAGTTTAGGATATCTGAACTAAAACCCAACTTTCCGAATAAAATACACCTCAACACTGGCGTATCTAAAAACTTGAGCAACTGATCAAGGTTCATGACGATTCCGTAGCAGTCATGAGTCTAAAATACTTCTCCGACTCCTCACTCATTCTGCAGTACAATAACGACAGGGAGCTTTAATATTTATGAGCTAAAATGCTTAAACTTCTCAAAACTGAAATATAAACGGTCATGCCAGCTACTCGAGAGAAGCGTATCAAGATTGTATAACGTCCACTAATGCTAGTGACACAGAGGATATTTTTCTGACCAGTCATTTATTGGAATCTGAGAGTAATCTGCGGATGTAGTCAGATAAACCATATTTAGAGCTCATTTCAGTCAAGAGTATCCTAAAGAAGTCTAGCAAAAGAAACATCATGGTGCTAGTTATGCCAGAATACACGGACTTAGAGTATGAAGTCTATGATATCCAAAGGTGGAGGTTTAATAAGGCAGCTTCTGAAGATTAAAGGTATATTTTCTCAATAAGTAGTAAAACTGTCCAAGAAGAACAAGGGTACTAGAATCATATTAATAAAGATAATCTTCACCCCTTCCAGAAAGGTCTGAAAATTCAGTTTTAATTCAATGTGATAATTACTCAGTATGGTATTTGTTTTCTTACCAAAGCACGACATCATATTCTGTATAACATACGATATTATTGCCTTAAATTTACACGAACTATACTCAGCATATGATTTGTTACATCTAAGCATTTTTCATATATGTGATTTATTCTAATTATTAGTCAAACATGGGTGTATGAATCAATATACAAATGAGTGTATTTCCGATTAGACTCGTCGTGGTTGTTCGTACTTCTGGGTGCCTGTGGAATATATTTCCCTCTTCTGAGCTTGGATTTATTTTTCTAGTTAGCGGAGGTGGGACGCGTCTGAGTAGCTAGCTTATCTGTTGTTGTGTCACAGGGTCTTCGTCGCGTTATCAGACTAGGTGAACTCTTAATCTCTTTAAACACAGTAATGATATACTAGAACCCATATGAATCCCGGCGGGCTACACCATGTCGACTGTCAAGGGTAAAACTGCATGGAAAGGCCTTGGGTCAACCATTCCGAAAACCCTGTCTAGGCAGGTTCCTGATCCACTCATAAATGATCACTGGGAAAACAGATCAAGGAAACGCACGCGTTTAAGATCAAAAGCATCAAATGCTTATATATTGGCTCTTCCAATTTAGGGAACAAAGTGAATGAATTTTATGAACTATATAGTGCAAATAATACTCTTTTGATAATAATATCCTGGAAATGGTAACCTCAAATCACGAACAAAGCACTAATAGTAGTTGGAAGGTCTTCGTTTCACAATATCAAAGGGAAAGTGGAATGGGACGTAGTGTTGTGCATTACATACTTTACTGCATTGTGGCACATTTAAACAGTAAAACCATAACGTACGACCCACAATGACAAGGGCGTCACTTGTAACTCAGTAGGTGTCTCAGTGATGAACATAAGCACGCGACCAGTGTTTCAGAAACTTCAGCGACTAAACAAGGATACAGCTTTTGGCCCGGACGTAGTTCCCTCACTCATGCTAAAAGATACGTCTTCAAACTTAGCAACACTTTGTAGAGCAATGCTTTCACATTCGCCGAGCTAGGGAGTGATTTCGGAACATTAGGAGCCAACAATCATTGAAATAACTGTAAAAGGAGCCAACACTATGAACCTTCAAACTAACATCAGATAGTGTTCCTTACAATACCCTCATGGGTTATGGAATCTTTGTTACGTGATGATAGATGTTACTACCAATTATCTGCATGTTTCTCGTCACCCAGCAAGGTTTCAGGAAGTGTCATTCCTGCATTGCCGGTCTTATAGCTAAGGTAGACAGATGGAACACCATTTTCGACTGCCAGCGGAAGATGGATGTGTTATACATCAATTTCTCAGAAGTTTTTGATATGTTCTATCATAGATGTCTTATAGATAAGCTCAAGCTGATAGGAATCAAATAACCACTGATAAACTGACCTTAGTTAAACTTAGATAGTCAACGTTTTAAGGTTCGTATAAACTGCACATTGTTTCAGTCTACGGAATATTTCGCCGGAGTCCCCCAGGGTTCAGTGCTAGGACCTCTGCTCTTATTTGCCTAAACAAATAGTTTTTTCTTAGCAAGTATTCGCCGGGCTATTACTTCTGATCGATGAAGTTGTAGTGACTCACGTTTATCACGAGAACACGATTGGTTTAATAAAAACAATTATTATTATAACCAGCTGTACCAGTGTTTGTTTTAACGTGCTTTTGTTTGACTGTGCTAATGACAGCTATTTTGTGCTTCCATTCTTTTACTTACACTTCGATTGTAACTTCGCGCGAATTCGGTTACGTTCTGTAACCAAGGTTGTATCCTGGCACAATCTCGGTATCCTTTCGATGCCACGAAATTGCCAGCTAATAAACCTCGACTTGGTCCATTAACTGTCTTCTGATATTTGGCTTCTCGGGGATTTTATGGATCTATTTGGTTACGTCCAGCCCTCGCCTTCTGATTCGCTTGGCACGTGTTTCTTGGTAGCGGTGTTCATAGTTAACCTCAACCCGACGCCACGCTACAAAGTCAAACCTCGGAAGTAAGTTTGCAACCGGGACATTGAGTTAGGACTTCAGGAGGACCTAACTGAACTTCAAGGCTAGGCGACTCGCAACTGACCTACTTTCAATGCTACATTGTAAAGTTGTTCATGTGAGGCATGTTATCAAGTACAAATACGGCTTTGGTAAGTCCTTTGCAGAAGCACCTCGGGCTAAAAAACATCATAGAGTTTTGAAACCCTAAAATTCAAAGTCTTCTGCTAACTGTGATAGAAAGCCTCTAGAACCAACCTCACACTGACAACTATGAAGCTCATTTTCGTCCATTTTCACAATGAAACTTTCCATCTGATATTATTTTCCCCTTCGCTTCATAAGAACAAGGATACTCTGGCACATACCTAAAGGCGATGCCTGAAATTTTCTGCCAACCGAAGCAGTTCGAGCAACTCCATTGTAGTCCTTCAAGAAGGAACTTGACATATTCTTGAGGACTTTGGATATCATTTCACCATAGCTTTCTAATATTTCTCTTTACTTTACCAAGCAAATCTAGGTTCCAAACTAGAGGGCAGGTTGTCATCTGAAACTAGATGCAGAAGTCCACCAAGCCAGAGCTTGTTCTCTTCCTTCCACAACCATTTGGACCATCTGAACCACTTGAACCACGTACGTACCCATGGCTTGCCGTCCCTCGAATACCTGTAATAGGTGCATTTTTTGTACATTTCCATTACCACTACTATCATTCTTATTATTGCCGGCCTAGCTCTGCTCACCCCACCATTTGTAACCTACGACTGTCTGTTATTCTTAGATTTCTTTCTGTTCACGTTGCTTGCATAAACCGTCAATACATCACTTCAGACAGTCATTTTCCCTTTCCTCCTCGATATTCTGGATTCATCATCTTTTACTGTGCAGTGTTTGCAACTAACTAATCTCCCGTCTGAAAATATGATAGCTGTAGATCCTAGTGATCCTATAGCCCCAGAACAAACACATTTATTTATACTCAAGGAATATGAAATTCCTAATAACAACAGAATTCACAGGAGCTAGTGAAATCGAATGTCGAGACTGCCCATATTTGAAGTTAATTAGGACCATGCACAGTACCATAACATTTATTTATTCCTCGAAACAATCGTCTTCTTCTGGCACATAAACTTTGATTTTATTAGTCTTCAGATTGTAATTAACCAACCTCTTGCCTGGTATTATGATAGCTTCCGGTAACCAGAAACCCAGTGCTTTGAGACAAACGCACTTGAATTATGAGATGGATGGGCCTACAAATAACTGCTAAACCGACTAGAATGAGTCCAATCGAGTGGTTAGACTACTGTACCCATTGGACATTTTCAAACATCTAGCAATGTACAGACAAGAAACAAGCGCGTGACAAAGATATTGGATATTGGAAATGGGTCGTTTGTATGGTACGTTGCATCTTGCAAATTTAGTGCACTATCCTCCTTCACTGTATTTGAGGTTCATTAATTCTTTGGTCAATCCTAATTTAGGCTCAGTAATATCTTGCACTGGGTATTGTTTTCTCAACTTAGTGAAGTAGCAATGGTTTTTATCAATCGTGATTTGTAAAACTTCAGATCTTGTCTATAGTATATACTATAGATCCATTCCAGTTGGCGACAGTTGGCCTAAATTATATGGACGACTTTGGTCAATTCATAAATATCTTTGCAAGCTCACAACCACTCGTACGGTTCAAAACCAGGTTAGGGATTACGATTAATAGTTAACTAATACCAGGGTCTGGTTGACACTGGTAATGGTTTCCAAAGCTAAGGTGACACTAAATAAGCTATTTGTTAGCGAAAAGTGTTGGTTTACCTAGTTATTCCCTTATATTCACATCTGTTGACGTTTAAGTTGCACAGGTTATGAATTCCCAGTTTATGGAAAGATCACTTACGACAATATCGAATCTGCTATCTTTCCTACTGATTTTCTAGCTATGCTCTGAGAACTTATAAACAAAATGAAGTTTGGATTTGCGACTCATCATTAACAGATACTTCATGCCATTTTAGTAAAGGTCACTATCCGTCTTTATTATTACACTAACCTATGCTATCCCAAACAACCAAAAGAAGAAATAAAGCGGACGAAGGCGTAAATAAAGGGGAAATGTCGCTTTTTCGCCTTCACGTTGGTTATTTAGGGCAAATGTCGCTTTCCCCCTCTTACGTCGTGTATTTGGGAGAAATTTGTCGACAATTAGACGTTACGTACAGTGTTTGAATAAACCGCATTCAGAACTTAAGTTTTCATACACGTCGACAAATGAAGGCACCGCTTAATAAAAAAACAATACTATTGTCACAAAAATAAGGTACAAAATACTGAACCAGGCATAGCCAGCTGCCTATGATTTTCATGACTTCATCTTCGTTTCCCCTCGTATCATTCACCTTTAAGGACTTAAATTAAATCCATAAAATATTACTAAGACATATGGAGTTTTGACTGAATACGAGTATGAACGGATCCATTAAAAATAACCGATTTCTGAAACACCAGAAATAGATAGAAACAGCATCAATTTCAAAAATAGTGAACACTTTTATTAGTAATATTTTCAGAATTTTCATTAATTCAGAAAAAGGTATACTTCTCAATTCACATTATTTTTTTTTACCATTATTCTCACAATTACCCTGGAGGAATTTTGCACAATATATATTATTTTCATGTGACTTATTATCATTAATATTGTGATTACCATTCTTGATACCACTTTAATTAACCCAACGCTATTCTACATTATGTTCACAGGGTTCGTTGCATTATATGCATTATAACCAACGCCTTTTAGCCGATCTTCTTATCCCTTTTTTAAATGACCTATAAGACTTACAAATGACATTCTAGACATGCTTAAGTCGTGATCGATGTAAAAGTTCACCATTTTAGCGTAGAACATCATTTCATGCAGTCACAACTGATACGTACATGTCTTATTTCAATCACCGTAATATAGCATTTATGGATCTATAACTGTACAGTTTGACGAAATTACTGAAAACAACTATTACCTCAAACATTCCTTGTTTTCAATACTCTGTGGGGACTTTTGAACCCATACAAATTGTTAAAGTATGTTTCATTTGTGAATGGATCATGTATCGTTAATTATTCAACAACTGTCAATTTTGATTGGTGTTCTGTGTTTTAATATCCCTCTGAACTATCAATTACGTTGTAACTTATCACTTGCAATTTTTATCATTTTATTTATAGAAACATGCTTCAGAAACATTCCAATCCACCTCTTGGTTTAGAACGGATTCATCGATATTTTTGTTACGTTTGTGGAACTCTTCTTCCACACAAGTTGGAAGTTCATGATTTATTAGTATGCCGAAAATGTAAAACATCTACGTGTATGCATTGGTTCAGTAATATGGATGCAACTTTCAATACTGAAGCTAAATCTGGCAAAATAAACCAATTTAATGATGATGAGTATGAATCCACATCTTTATTCTTTCCATCAATGATTAGAGGGGCTAAAAAGATCTTAAGATCAGAAATTGCTTTAAAGGAGGCTTTGGAGTCACAATTTGAAAACGGTACATCACAACCAACATTTGATGGACCAACTATTAGAAAAGAATGTGCTTATTGCGGCAATGATAGAATGACTTATGTTACACTTCAAACTCGTTCAGCAGATGAAGGACAAACTGTAATATATACTTGTACCCAATGTTCTAAAAAAGAAATTGAAAATACTTGATTAAGTGTTTTGATTTTACCCATTAGTATTCATAATAGTTTAGTTTTGTCGGCTAAATCTTAAGGTTAGTACTTTTATCATGACCCACTAATACGTTTAAAATACAAAGTTGAACACAAACACCTCTTGCTAAATAATTTATTATCAAACTGTACAACTGTTTTTTTTTTGCGAATGAAAATTTGAGGCTGTATTGCTTGAGGAAATCTAAGCACTGAATAAACACAATGTCATAGAAAAATAATCGTATTACTGGGCTATTAATTGTACGTGATAACAAGACAAGGTTAGATAACTTCTTCAGGATGTGTAAACAGAAAAGGGGTATCAAAGTAAAATTTAATATTAGATTAGGTTATGGATGGATTAAGGTAGTTAAATGTGTCAGTGCTTAAATGAAATGATATTGGAAACAATTACAAGCGTAAATCGGGGAGTTGTAAAAAAGTTTAAGCAGAAGGATTCATTTACAAACACAAAAAGTATGTGAGAAAACAATAATGATGGTGATAATAGATAAGATAAGGATAGGATACACTTCTCTTGTAAACAATGGATAGCTAAAGCTGGTGTTTTACAGAGTTGACGATGAAATGTGCATAGATTCATATGGATTATGTAAATAACCTCAAAATTAACTTGTGCGTTAGTCGAATGAACACAGTCAATTAAATATCCAAGGATAGAACTCCTAGCTGCTTTCATCTCACTGTTGCAAAACTAGGCTGCAATAGGTTCTCGTATATATGTTGAAGGTGAGCTCTGTCTTTGGTCTATATGGTTTGCTTGATAAAAGTAGGTGGACCGGTAGATTCAAACAGAGGTGACCAGACAGGGGACCCTAACTCTCACAGATACGCAAAACCTTTTTGTTAATAAGATTTTATTGTAGTTTTACTGAGTAAATTGTCTTATCCCTGCCATCGAGTCGCTCGATTATTCATTAAAATATTAAGATAAGAAAAATTCAATTAATTACACCAATATATTCGTAGTATAGTTCAGTCGGTTGAAAGTTGGTACTTCTGGGGACATTGTATTCTCACTTGATGTTCTTTGTTCACCAGTGTATTTCTAACATGATTTATGTTAAATCTGTAACTAAGTTGAGTCACACGTCAATGATATTGGTTTGCTTACTATTTGGCTACATGGACTGTTATTACGTTGCATTTTGAACCTTCAGTTTATTTTTGGTCTAGAAATCTGCAAATAAAAGGTCGAGGTAATCTTAGGTGCTTTTTTTTACAGATTGCTTCATGCCTAAATTTGAAAAACCCGACATAATGTAGTCATTAAGCGTCTCAACTTCTACGGAAAACATAAAACTATCATATCTATAAATTTCTATGAAGAAGTTCGCCTGATTAACGGTCAACATCCTTTCAATGCTTGTAAAGCACGATAGGGAATTAGGTCTACCTATCTCATTTCTCGACGTGCCAACTTATTCACGAATATCTTGTGTAAGTTGCTCAAACTTGCATTGTTATCCTTTACAATAAATCATAATATTAAAGTTTTATTTTTGTTATATCATCTTGTTCATCATAAAATGAAGCCTCAATTTCATGTAAATCCGGTTGTGCCCCCAAATGGCCGAGAGTGGGAAGGGTCCGCTCACCCTCTCGGAATGCTCTCATGTGGCCACGCGTATATAGCCTCTGACAGGGAAGTCCTACTCATTGCCTTCTCGTGGCGGGGGTGTTGTTTACGAAATTGAGAGGACGAAAAATGAATGTCCGGCACTTTAACTGGGTTGGTGGATATGGAGGATCGACATAGAAGAGTTAGTTGGGAAACCCTGATTTCAAACCAATGGTGCACATGGGCTCAAGTATCCTGAGGGAACAAACGGTGTATGAACCAATCGTTGATCACCGGCTACCATGGGACTGCATCTCCTTACGATGCTCGGCTGCCTTGTGGATCAGACCTTTAAGTCGAAAGCTCCAGGTGTGGCCCCCTAAGAAAACCACCTGCTTCGGTTTGGTCACCCGAGCAGTATTACAGCTCTCACACATATCAAATGAGATTTGTGTGGTGCATATGTATTTGGTACCTCCTTGTATCAATATCTTTGTGTTAAAATAAATAAATACGGTTGTACAGCTTGATAATAAGTTATTTGTTTCACTTCGTACTTATCTAATGTACGTATGAGTTTGATAATTCCTCGTAAAATACTCTTTATCACACTTATAATTCCTGTCATTGGGACGCAACCCTAAATAAATCCAAACACGTGTAACCCTTCAGTAAATTAGTATATAGAGCAGAGTTCGAGTGTTTGTATATTCTTAAGTATTCATACCCAATTTCTAACTAGTAAACTGTTAATCAAAGATATCACTCTGTGTCCGAGAAACTATGTCAGTCCTGTGACGTGTTATGACGAGTTGAGTATCGGAAAAGTTGTAACTTTTGGAACTATCCTTCGGATTATCATTATTTATATTTTTAATGTATAGTTAGCTAATAGATACTCGTATCATTGTATTTATATATTATCACTGTAAGCTTCCAGTTGACCCATTAACTGTCTTTATATGTTTTACTATCCTTTAATTATTGGTAACTAATTGTGTACTGTTCTCTTCACTCCCTACCACATGCGGCCTAATTGTATTTGAAGTATGATTTATTATTTGGTGTTCTGTACAGTCTAATCTGTGTATATAAGTTAATAGGTGTTTGAGGTAGTTGTTGGCTGAGCTGGGTAATTGAAATATAGCTATAGTAGGACCCGGCTGCTAATTTCCCTTCGGACTCAATGCAGAGGACGGAAAAAAAGCTTTTGGATAACAAATCAATAAAAGTGTAGCTTGAAATGGCTCAAGGTTAACTGCGCAGATCAAAACGTATAGTTAGTCAGCTCTGGGATTTTAATCAGAATGGTAGACTAGAGAAAGAAAAAAATATATTGTAATTAGGATTTTGACTGGTAACTTTAGCACATGATACCGATTAGTGTCTCAAGTCATGACAAAATTGTTGACGGGAATTTCGAGCAGAGAAAGCGAAAAGAATTAATAGCAATAGATTAAATTTCTGATATTGGGCACCAAGGAATCTTAGTTAATGAAGCAGTAAGAAGGAGAATAATCCTGCATTCAGTAGATAACTTCAATGAATAAAGAGATTTGAAACGATTATTTTGAATTCGCTTCAGTTCTATGAGAATTTAAGAAAAGTTCAGCAGAAGAAAGTGATCTCTATTACCGCAGAGAGGATGCATATATTGTTACAGAAGTAAGAGATGTTCATTAAGCATCATTTGAAATTTACAGAAAAGCTAAATTCAGGGTTGATGAAACCTTCAATTTCTTTAATAATGGTGAAAATTCATAAAGAAACTTATCAATTTCGTACAAATGTCTCCATAATAAATAAATCCATGCGTTAATATCTGCACAAACCGTTGATGAGCAGTAGTTTAACTGATTTAATAGTCATATTTAATCCTTTCAGTGATTCAGTAGAGGCTGTTTCATAAACGAATCCTAAAGTGAGTTCAAATCTCGTTATGTCTGAGGCAGAATGTACAACTATTGAGTTGTCAAGTGTAAAGCAGGAACATCATTTATAAGTTTTCGTTCAAAACAGACATATATATATATATATATGATAGATTTCTGCTTCTACGCCTTTGGGAGTTATTTATTTAATTAAATACATAAAAACTGGTACAAAAGAGCACCGAATATATACGCAACACACAAGTCACTTGATATAATTTGCGGGTGCCCAGACCGTAGCAGGTGATTTTCTTAGGGGGGGGGCACACCCCGAATCTTTTACCTATATGTCTGATCCACAAGACAGTGGAGCAACGTTAGGGGATGCAGTCCAACGGTAACCGTTCACCAATAATAGGTTCATACACTATTTGTCCCTTCAGGATCCTGGAGCTCATATGCATCATTGGTTTGGAATCAGGGTTTCCCAACTAACTCCTCTATGTTGATCCTCCATATCCACCAAGCCGGTTAAAGTGCCAGATATTCACTTATCGTCCTTTCAATTTCACAAACGAAACCCTCAACGCGTTAAGGTAATGAGTAGGATTTCCCTGACAGTGACTATATACGAGTGGTCATGTGAAAGCATTTCAAGAGGGAGAGCTGACTCTCCCCACCCTCAACCGTACCAGGAGTATTCGGGTACTGATAGTTCCATACCTAAATGTAACTCATAAACTAAAAATTGATATACAAAATGGTATAATAATTAAAATGTATTTCATAATTTACGAAAACCAAGTAAGAAAAACAAAATTCCTATAAAAATTGAATAGAATTAAACAAATGTTTTCCTTTCATAAATAAACAAACATGGATGAATATTGATATGAATTATATTCCAAAAATACCAGCTTGGATAAAACTGTATCCCATGGAAACAATCAATTTGAAGAATTTGTTTGAAAGATGACAATTCCCGATTGATTATTTCTATTGATAGTTCTGATATAAGATGTGTAAAATTTGAAGAGTTTAATACATTAAAATTAGTTTCTAAACCTTCTGTTTTATTGTAACTAAAGAAAAAAAAATGGAATAGATTCAATGAATAGAAAAGTGTTATATCCGAGCGAAGATTAAATCACAAGTAACTTCTGAGACATTATGTTTTTGATGGAAATCATGAGTGAATTAAAGCTAGACCATCATGGAAAACCTGAAAGCACTGAATGGCCGTTTCATCCTAGTAGGGGACTCCTCAGCAGTGCGCATCCACGATCCCACACCCCGCGAAATTTGAACCCAGGACATGTCAATCTCGCGCCAGGCGCTTAACCAACTAGACCACTATATATTTATATTCCTCTTATTATAAGCTTCATTTTGACTTATATGTTCAGTTTATTAACTACTGCCTCCCACGTTCACAGCCACATTTTGGCTTTATTGTGTACAAATGTTATTTCCCATTTTATGGTGCGTTGCGATCTGTTTGATTAATATATAAACCCAGTATGTCTGAAATAAATGATTCGATTCGCATATTGGAAGCTGGTATTTGGTGTTCTGGACTCAAGTGAACGGGCTAGACGGACATGAGATCAATAAGGACGTTAGGCTGCTCATACCGGTCGAACGTCATTGGTTTGGCACAGTGCTAAGTTTGTATAAGTCGTATTTTGATTGGTGGATAAATCACGTGATAAAAAGCCGGACATAAAGTCATAACAAAAAGGAGATGTGATTTAGAATAATAAGATTAATATGATAAAATTTATCTTATTCTGTTGCATTCTAAACAGTACTCATCATTATAGAATGATAAACCACTAGAGTAAGTTACTTATTTTGTTGAAAGTCATAGATAAACTGAATAAATCCCAAAATAAGAAACTATAGTTCTAAGGAAAGATAGATAATAAGTCTAGCGGTGAAATCTAGTTTGCCGCACGACATTTTGTCCTATTTGGGACTCGTCAACTGGATGTACCTATATCTCAGAGTTCATATTCACTATAGGACTCGAATCCAGTATCGTTCACATTTCTAACACCTTCATGTTATTCACTTAGCTACTGAGTCTTGGATAACCATTTGGTTGTGCAATGGAATGAAGTTTAGGACTACAATTGATCAATCTCAAATAGAATGAAACGCGCGTCCTAGATTCCACTACTAGCCATTATCCATCTTTGCTTAGAATGCTTGTAAATTAAGATAATACGCACAGTATGTACATATTGTCAACAAGAGACTGATCAATTGCAGTCCTAAATAACAATGGGAAGATTCAAGTTAAACAATACCAAGTGAATTTGACCTAATGATAATCATAATATGATATGGCGAATTGTTCATATTTAACACAGGGCGTACAAAAATATATTTCTTATACATCTTTTGTAATAACAAAATGGATATGTTTCGTTATTATGAAATGATTTATTGATTCTGTAGAATGAAACGAATCGGTGTTCCAATCAAACCATAGTAAAAGAAATGATTAGATGTAGAAAAAAAAGTGTCAAGTGATTCCATCACTCAGGTTCTAAGCGGAGAAAAAAGTGATTGCGCCTGTTTCACCATGAATGATTCTAAGCCATATCATTTAGAGTCTCTAAGCATTTGGTTACGTTAATTATATGGACTTGAATTAAATAGTCTGTACCTAGCTACATAACTCAGTCTAATTGTCGATGACTTCATAGGAAACTAGTGCCACACTTCTTAGATTTCCTACCTTCAAGCTTTCTTCCAACCTTCCTCTACACTATACAACATCGACTGTCGAGGTATTCGGTAGTTTAGCATATGTAACATAAGTCATAACCACTTTAGCTGATAAAGATTTATCACCTCATCAACAATATTTACCTAGTACAGTATGCCTAAACATCAGAACTTTACATTTATAAAACTGATTATTGAATTCATCACTAAATACTGAGCCAAAAAAACCTAACAAATAAATAAACTGATCGATATATATATCCAGTTTTAACGTACATCCATTGATTGTTTTCTTCTAAAAAGCGTGTTACACCGGTTTGTGCAGCCAAATTACAAATATGAATGTGAACATCTATAAAAGAAAATACAACACATACAGATGATTCCTCTTTACGGTTACAGATAATAATAATTAGAGCTATGAAAGGAATTCATTGTAAATGTACATTTGAATGAAGATAAACTATACTCTCATTCGGAATTTCGGCCTTAAGCCTGGCAATCAACCAAAATGAAAGGAGGGAATTATTGTTTACACTATCGTAATCTTTGATGAAGGATGTGTTTCATTTTTTGTTATTTTTACTGACTCTTCCCAACCTCGGCCGTATTAGGGGCATTTTGGGTGGGGACGTAGATTGATTTAATAATCTCTCAATGATGAGATTCCATATAAATGTGACATATTCAAAACTTACCGATAGAATGATACTAATTAAAATTTCACGTTTATTAGTAGATTATATTTACGATTCTGAATAAACAATAAAAAATCATGCAATCGCTAATCTGTCCACTTGGTTCTATCATTCTAACAGTGAACACAATATAGATCAGAATACTGAGTAAGAGGATATTCTATCTACGTAATGCATGAAAAGACTTTATATCATGATCTTCTAATGCCCCCGAACGCCCTGTTACGGCCAAGGGTGGGGAGAGTCCACTTTCCCTCTCCAAATGCTCTCACATGACTACGCGTATACAGCCATTGACAGGGAAGTCCTACTCATTGCGAAGAAAAATGTTCTCTTCTCGACGAAATCATCTAATTATTCTATACATTCGTACTTATAGTTATATGAAAAATATATGCCAATATATAATCATTGGGACGGGATTATGTGGAAGTCCTACACATTGCCTTCTTGCGTTGAGGGTGTCGTATACGAAATTGAGAGGATGATAAGAGAATATCTGGCACTTTAACCGGCTTGGTGGATATGGAGGATCAACATAGAGGAGTTAGTTGGGAAACCCTGATTCCAAACCAATGATGCATATGAGCTCCAGGATCCTGAAGGGACAAATAGTGTATGAACCTATTATTGGTGAACGGTTACCGTTGGACTTGCAATCCTGAAGGGAAGCGAAAAAGAGGAAGGCCAAAGAACACATTGCGTCGGATAATAGAAGCAGATATGAAAACGATGAATTACAACTGGACGGAGCTAGAAAGGATTGCCCAGGACAGGGTTGGATGGAGAATGCTGGTGAGCGGCCTATGCTCCTTCACGAGGAGTAACAGGCTTAAGTAAGTAAGTAAGTAAGTTACCGTTGGACTGCATCCCCTAACGTTGCTCCACTGTCTTGTGGATCAGACCTATAGGTAAAAGATTCGGAGTGTGCCCCCCCCTAAGGAAACCACCTGCTTCGATTTGGGCACCCGAATAGTATCATAACCCACACACAAATCAAGTGACTTTATTATTATTATTACTATTATTATTAGCAGTTGTTAACATAGAAATATGCTTATATTCTAGTCAAGTCAGTCATGCGTTCTTAACCAAAGTTATGTTGATATCCTATAGACCACTAACAGGATAACTATTCATCTAAGTTAAATTTTAACATCTCATTGATGTCAAGAAGAAAACTAGGCTGGTGGAGAGGATTTGTAGATCAGGTGGATGATTTTGATGGGGTTTTGTTCTCTCAGCTGGATAGTTTGGTTGTGGAGCTTTAATCTTTCTTCTGAACAATATCATCGGCACAAACTTCAGATAGAAGTAAAGTGTTCGAACCAATCAGGAAAATTATGCACAAATATAGGAAGAAAAATCAAACCAATGGAAGATACAACCAAAACAAAGAAGTAAACAATGACAGGTTGAAGGTAAACAACAACAACCAATCAACATCGGAGTGTACAGGACAAGCTTTGAACCATATGTGAAGAAATTCGAACACTTCATTTCTACCTGAAATTTGTCGTTCAGAAGAATAACGAGAAAGCTCCACGACCAAATCATCCAGTTCAGAGAACAAAACTCCATGAAAAAAGAAAACTAAGTGTTATTACAAATATTTTATAAGAAGTAACTTACCAGTTCGATGAATTAAATGATCCATATGATTAAGTCTAGTTAATGCTTCACCACCAGGATAATTTTTTCTTGCAATCATTATCAATATAATGGAACATAGTATATTCACAAGTAGATGTATATAACAATAGAAAATGAATAAAATACGAAATTTTGTTATTCTATTTAATTTATGATGATTTTTAATTAAATCCATATATGTTCCTTTCAATTTAAGCATTGGTTTCTCTCTATAATAGAAGAAAACAAGAAGAAGAAGAAGAAGAAGAAGAAGAAGAGAACAACTACATTTAATATAAATTAGAAACAAAGGGGTTTTGTGGAGATTATAGTAATCTAATAATTGAAATCATGAGTCAATTGAAGTTAGACCATCATGGAAAAACGTGGAAGCACTGGACGACCGTTTCGTCCTAGTATGGAACTCCTCAGCAGCGCGCAACGACGATCCCAATACGCGAGATTCGAGCTCAGGACCTATCAGTCTCATGAATTCAACTATAAAACGACTAAAATCTCTACAAACCTCCCACTTCTGGTATTAATTATTCTATGCTCACTAGTGACTGGCTTCAAGAGGTATTTCCTGGAGTTCTAGTGAGAAGCAGTGACCAGTGGAATTCAACTGGGTCTGTTGTGAGATAGTAAATCACTAAAGACAATGGTGGATATGTCGCTCAATTTCGTGGATTAGTTGAAGTTAGATAATTACACTGTTGGATACCTACTCAGTGGTCTAGAGGTTAAGCGTTAGCGCGAGACTGATAAGTCATGGGTTCGAATCCCATAGGGTTGGATCGTAAATGCGCACTGCTGAAGAGTCTTATACTAGGATGAAACGGCCGTTCAGTGCTTCTAGGTTTTCTATGGTGATCTAGTTTCAATTGACTCATGAATTCAATTAATAAATTAGAAAGCGTACAATGTTATTTTTTTGTCAATAAAAATAACACTATTTGATAGTTTGTATAGTAAACAAATATAAAAGATATTGACATATATGCATCTTGTGAGGATTGTGTCAATATTGCCACCAAGTCACAAGCATTATAAGCAAAGATGGATGATGGCTAGCAGTGGAATCCAGTTTAACGGACGTTTCGTCCTATTTGAGACTCGTCAACTGGATGTACCTATATTTCAGAGTTGATGTCAGTCAGTTAGCTACAACATAGAACCAGGCACATATATGCATCCGTCCAAGTTGTCATACCTCATTAGCACAACAAGATGAACACCGAATTCATAGAAGTAACCACTTCAATGGTGGCAATATATAAAAGAAAAATTGCATATAAGGATATAGTGCATGAAAAAAGAATTAGTTGGTAGATCAGAGTTGATATTCACTTCCGGGACTTGGACCCAGTACCATTCACCGCCAGTCAATATAAACTAATTAAAATATTGATTCAATGAAAGGTCCTCCCTTTTTTCGATGAATTCAAAGTTGTACAATCACAATTATAATACTTTTGTTTCAAAAATGATAATAATGGTGATAATAAAAATTTTGCTAAACATGATAATAATGAAGTAAAATAAATAAAAACGTTGTTTGTATTAAGGAAACTAAAGATAATTTTGTTGTTGAATTCATGAATCAATTGAAGCTAGACCATCATGGAAAAACGTGGACAACCGTTTCGTCCTAGTATGGGACTCCTCAGCAATGAGCATCTACGATCCCAACTCATGAGATTCGAACACAAGACTTATCAGTCTCATGAATTCAACTATGAAATGACTTAAATCTCCACAAGCCCCCCATCTGATAATAATCATTGTATGCTCACTAATGACTGGCTTTCTATTCAATACTCAATTTATTTGAATCTATTTAAATGTTGGCTTATAATTATTATTATATTATCATTATTTGAACACATAGATATTGGTACAAGGAGGCGCCTTAAAGAGCAGTTAGATTTCCGTTCTCGGTTATTCGATGAAGTAAGTCCGCCTTATTTGTAAATCTCTTCCAGGAACGTGAAAAGTTAGTTGAACGCAGTTTATACATTGAAGAAGAGGTCGAAGGACGCAAACAAGCTGAATACGAAAGTCGATTAACAGAGGAGCTAAGATCAATTCGAGATCAAACCGCTTCTGAATTAGAAGAGTATAAAATACAAATGGAAGAAACGTTTGAGGTACATGATTAAATGTGTTGTTTATTTATTTATCTATTTGAACACATAGATATTGGTACAACGAGGCACCAAATGCATATGCGCCACATAAATCTTATTCGATGTGTGCGAGGGTTGTGATACTGCCCCGGGTGACCAAACCGAAGCAGGTGGTTTTCTTAGGGGGCCACACCTGGAGCTTTTGACCTGAAGGTCTGATCCACAAGGCAGCCGAGCATCGTAAGGAGATGCAGTCCCATGGTAGCCGGTGATCAACGATTGGTTCATACACCGTTTGTTCCCTCAGGATACTTGAGCCCATGTGCACCATTGGTTTGAAATCAGGGTTTCCCAACTAACTCTTCTATGTCGATCCTCCATATCCACCAACCCAGTTAAAGTGCCGGACATTCATTTTTCGTCCTCTCAATTTTGTAAACAACACCCCCGCCACGAGAAGGCAGTGAGTAGGACTTCCCTGTCAGAGGCTATATACGCGTGGCCACATGAGAGCATTCCGAGAGGGTGAGCGGACTCTCGCCACTCTCGGCCGTACCAAGGCATTTGGAGGCTTTATAATTACAGAAAAATAAAAATACTTAAGTAATATACAAAAATGATAAACAACTTACAAATAAGCCCAAATATCTGCTACCACTAAATTGAATATAGGCAATATATAAATAATGAAACGTAATTCTTTATGAGGTAAGAAAGAGTATAAACCAACGAATATAAAACTAACTAATAATAATCCATTACATTGTAAATAGATTATGTTATGCTGGTAACCAAAATACTTTTGTAAAGGTAGCGAGAGAATGATTATAATAATCCATGTAAATAATAATATATAAGTGGATAAAAGTGATTTCGGTAATGCAGATGTGAAATACCAATGAAATGGGTATATCTAAAGAATACATGTTTAGAATATAGCATGTGATTTATAACAATCTACACACATACACACACACACACACAAAACGTATGTACGTTATCCAGTCAGAAACATCTGACATTGCTGAGGAGTGCCTTTGCGTGTGGTTAGTTCTATAATCTGTCCACGTACAATTAAGGCTAGAAAAGGGTTAAAGTGAATAAATACGCAGTATGACTAGAAAAAGGTATGATTGTGGTCTATTTAATCATTAACTATAACCTTGTAGTATCTGAATAACTTAGCTTCGCAGTCGTGTTATTATCATTGTTACTGAGGATCTTTAGAAAACTAAACCTTACAAAATGGAGGAGTCAACTACGTGCTTCAACCCGATAAATCTCTTCAGGTAAGAGATCAATATCAGTCAAAGTGTTATTTTCAGTTTTCTTATGGATAACCAAATTAATTAAATTTGGGATAGTAGTACAGCATTAGGCTATACTAACTGTCGTAGATGATTCAGATTACTTAGCATGCAGGGTGGCAACAATAAGAACATACTGGAAGAGGTGCTAAAACCAAAATGTTGTACCAATCTATGACTGTGGATGTGAGTAGTATTGATAGCTGGAGTCCGTGAGATAATTGGGATCAAAGGTTGAATGATTGACCAAGCAAGGCTTAAAATCGGCTATAGTGCTACAATTGTATCCATTCCCGATCTAACATTACTGTCATAGACTTTCGACTCCTAGATTCTAGTCGTTTTTTTCAAACTTTTAATATCTAATTTTTACGATCATTGATACTATTATAACATCCATTTTGCCTCCCTTTGAATGCACTGATACAAAGTACAGCAACTTGGATTGTTGCATACTTGCACCAAGTGCTACATTCTTAATGACTGACTAAACCTATTCACACAACAATTTGATAGATTTTATCTTAATAATCACCTTATTGAAGTAGGATATTACGTGGTTGTCAAATCAGAACTTTTAATCTTAAAAACGAAAATAGTCAATAGCTGAGAACAATCAGATACAAATAAACTATAGTAAACCTCGAAATAAGCGGAAGTTCACTATCGGTCCTCTCGAAAGTTAATTGACAATATGATCGGTCTGTACCTTACGTTATTCGAACAGACTATACTTACAGAGTACTTGTCATCCATTGTTAGTCTATTTTAAAGCCACTGTTGATGACAATTTTCAACAAAATCGAATTATGTGCGTAGTGATTTAGGGTTGGTCGACTGAAATATATAATTCTGCTTTGCATAGTCAACTCATTTAGACACAATTATTTCGACGATAAGCGATTCCAAATTAATATAAAAAACGAGATGGTGGAGAAGATTTACAGCTCAGGTGGATGATTTTGATGGAGTTTTGTTCTCTGAGATGGATGGTTCGATCGTGGATCTTTCATCGTTCTTCTGAACGACATCATCACCTGATGATGAAAGCTCCACGACCGAATCATCCAGCTCAGAGAACAAAACTCCATCATAATATCAAAAACCAATTTTAACATATTTTGACGCGTTTTCGAACACCCTACCTTTTAGTACTTAAAATGTTGAAAATTCAGTAGTTTAGCTGATGACAATTAAGAATTCAAGTCAATCAATCCTGTAGTTATTGAATACACCGATGTTCATCGAGAGACAACGGTATTCAATGAACTACACACACAAAAAAATAAAGAAAATATATCAATTTTGATTTTAAAAATGGTCAACATTATAGATAAAAGCTAAAACTAGATCAACACAAAAGGATACTCCCCATTGTCCACTTTTATTTAAGATTGTATTGAAATAAAATACTTCGAATTCTGGCCAGATTAATCTACCCCATAACAGAGAATCAATTAAAACAGTGGACCCTGTACGGAAAGTTTAAGAAGCATTGATTAATTATAATTCAAACACATACCGATACTGATGATAGTAGTTGTAATGATTGTTTTCAACAGTTTCAGTCGAAGTTTAACAGATCCAGTAAATAGACCATATAAAAGACATGGACCAAATAGCAAAATTAATTCACTACGAAATACAAGAATTGCAATTCCAGCTGATGTAACAAATTTGGTTTCATTGCGAGTGATCAAATGACCCAACGAATACAAGACTACAATAGGAAGGAGAATTCATAAAAATATGTACTTTTAGTTACTACTAATATTTTAACCAAATAACCGATTTGCAATGGAATGTGCGCTACATTAATTATGTGGCAGTTAATTATCCTAACCGACTGCTGTAAGAAAAATGGAGTGGGGATGTTTCAAGTTAGTTCTCTGATGATTTAAGTCTGATGCTAAAACCAGTTAAATACAGCTCTATATGATGAACAAAGTAGAAATCTCAATGACTAACACATTATGCTAAACTTCATTTAATAATAAGCGAACACAATATCCATGAAACCAAACAAACCAATAGTAACAAATGCCATTGAAGGAAGGTGAAAAAAGTACGCCATAAAGCATCTGGAACTGGAAGGTGCTAACTATTAAATTGAAAATAAGTTTGGCATGTTCTCAATGTTTTGGATATAACTTTATAAAATGCCAATTATGAGCGGTGCTGAACAGTCATAGAATAAATTGATACAGTAGTTTGATGCTCGTTTTCTTTCATTAATCCCATGGACATTATTTAATTTTGAAATAATCTAGTTTTCTAATTAACCATATTAACTGTAAAAATTAGACCACAAGAATCATAAAGTTCCAGGTTATACCGAGAAGTTTGAACTGAAAATTGCTTTACAAAGCTCATATTCACCTTTTACCAAATCAGTAAAGAAAAAACTCTCGAAGCTTTTCTGATAATAACAAATTGGATATCTAAACCATTGCACAAGCAAAAAAAGTAATCATAGGCACAGATGAGTAGCAATTAGCCCCGAGTTCGAGTCCCGAAGCGAACATTCAGTCTAGGATGCAGGTACATCCGGCTGACGAGTCCCAAATGAGACAGAACCCACGTCAAACTGCATTCCACTGCTAGCCACCATCTATCTCTGCTTACAATGCTTGTGACTTAAGACAATAACGAGGCAATTCGCACAGAATGCACATATGTCAATAAGAGACTGACAAATTTCAGTCCTAAGCATCAATGGAAATATTCAAATCAACCAATACAAATAAACTAAAACAATCATCTTTAGAAAAATGTTGAGTATCATGAAGATGAACTAATTCGATCCTTATTAAGCACAAGGTAGAAATGTGATTTGTAATTTGTACGTAACCTCAGGATGTTAGATTTCGCTGATTTAGACGGGGATAAACGAACCACAAACATGCTCGCATGGCTACGTAATGCAATAGAAATGAGTGTTTTCAATATTCACTAAGCAAAACTATAGTGTATATGCATCCCAAGTTAACTAGTGAATCTCCTGGTATATTAATCTCTGAAAATAATAAATGAGAGCGTTATTTCTGAAAGAATGTGTATGACAAATTTATATGAAAATGGGGAAAGTGGACAACGCTGAAAAAATCATTTGACGTTATTAGTTTTGACAAAAGTTCACCATAAACTTATTCAGCAGGTACTTGAGGTTGAGTAACGTTCTAAATATGGGGGGGGTAATGATACTATTGGGTTGCCCGAACCAAAGTAGGTAGAGGGAGATCCGAATTGTAGCCGGAAGTCAAATGCTTCAACTAAAAAGCTACCACCACACGTTTTGATCCGAAAAGTAATGTTCGATTAAAGAAACTAGACAACATTTTTGTACATCTTTGCGACGTCTATCAATGGCAGACATTACCATTAAACCTGCCAGGGAGGTCGAATCCTGCCTTAAGGTTAGGAAACATCATCATAGTTGGGTATCAGTATATGTGTTTCCGTTCCAGGATCTGGTGATAATTAACTAATTCATCAGTACATATTGTTCTGGAAGTGATTAGACTATTGATCATTTAAGATAGGGAAAATGATTTTGAAAGGTTGTTTAATCATTTAGTATTAAAATACCCTATCTTATCCATTAAATTTTTTTAGAAGCAGTGAGTAGGCAAGACACTGAAAACATTTCAGAATAATTAACCAGCAACTGAATATAACTAGATTTCGAGAAGAGAGTAACAGAAACACAAAGCATTGTAAGCTTCATACAGTCTGCTTTTTAAGACAGACAGGACTAAAATCTGGTCAGCTTTGAAATGAGTATACTACCCGCTACTTAGAACTTGATTATTAGTACTTGTCTAGAGAGAAGAGCCAACTTAAAATTGACATTTAGGATCGTTTCTATTAACATTACAGACGACTGATTTAGAAACCCACCAGCGAAGGGATTTGAAATAAACAAAAGGATTAACTTGTTCCGACTAGACTACGCTTATGGGAGGATTTTGATTAATTATATAAGCTTTTGCTTGGTACACCTTTGCAGTTTCCTTATAAACACCAGGGAGACAATTTTATGATTATGTATGCTATTTGCTTATTGGATTGAGATGATACACAGAACAAATTTTGATATTTTGGAATAATAAATAGGTTAAAACCTACTTGTACTTTCAAATGATAATAGCAATTCTTATTAGATTGAAAGACCTCAGATACGCTCTTAATAAAAAAGGAGAAAGTTTATGCGAGATATCTAACTATGCTTCTTAAAAATATATACTAAGATTAGGTGAAATAGGTTCCCCTCAAGAAGCTTCACACAACCCAGGTACCACAGTAGCCCGCTTCGGGTATCAAAGCGACAATGTATCTATAGAACCATTGTGATCATATTTAGATAGCAAAATACATTATCCCAAAGTTTAAAATAAAGAAACAATAGTTAGAAAAGTTCTTTTATTAACTACATATAGAACGCTAATGTGCAAGAATATCCAGGATGTGCTTAAATGGGCAGTTAGACTGAATCGCTAGAAAGACAAAAGAATAAATTCGGGATTTAACGACTTCGTCCGAGTACTTTCGGTGTAGAATTTGAACATTGGCACAAGAATGGACCCTAATAGTAGTCCTAGTCTCCTGTACTTCGGCTAGTATTCAAGTATGACTGGTAATATTCAACTTAGAAAATCAGGATGATACTCAAATACTTGTTTCAGCATCCGAAAAAGTGGTACATATAGGTACGACCGAGGGTACGAAGCGTTCTTCACTCGCGAAATGTTCTCATATGGTCACACATCTACACATATATATACCCACTGGCACGGAAGTCCTATTAACTACCTTGTTGATTACGAAATAAAAAGGATGAAAAGAGAATGTCTAGTGCTTAACCCAGGTTGGTGGATATAGAGCATACAACTAATGAAGTTGGAAAACTCTGATTTCAAATCATCGGTTCACATGCAATTCAAGATCCTGAGAAATCGAATGGAGTATGAACCTATTTTCGAACCCTCGCTACTATGAAAATCCACCTCTAAACATTTCCCCACTACCTGGTGGATTAAACTTCTGGTTCAGAGATTCGACATCGGCCTCCTAAGAAAACCACTTGATTTGGTTTAAGCACTCAAACAGTATTCTACCCCGCACATAGGTTCAACGGTTTGTGTGGCATATACATATTTTAGTGCCCGATTGTACCAGTGTTTGTCTTCCAATAAACAAATAAATACAGCATTGTTACTTGGATAACACACAGTGCTACATAAACCACAGTTCGGACACATTTTACACTAAACGATTCCCATTACAAATCGGTCTCAATATTTGAATATGATTGGACAATTGTTTGGTAATGGGTTGTTTTCCTGACCTTATACATTTCCCGTAATTTTAATTTCAATTACTTATCTGACCAAAAGAATCCTTTATGATTGTGTTTTTCTCTACTGAACAGCTCCTCTCACTATATATAAGTCTCGTTTACTTATTTTCAGCATTTTGTCGCTTTTGATTATACTCACCCTCCATCTTATAACTTCTTTAGTCTTATTTCTTTATTATGTGGTGCATATTTGTTCTGGTCATTTGTACCAATATTTATGTATTCAAATAAATGAAATAGCACAGAGAGGGATGACTTGTACGGCTAATCGATTGGGCTACAGCTGAAATCCATTAGCAGGAGTGATTTTGTAAGATGGCTAAACTACAGAGTTGGTTGCACACTGACTAATACCTGAGTAAACATGCGAAAAGATTTATTAGGCATGCATATTGTATAGGAAATGCTTTCTGCTTTGATTACGGTGAATTTTTATTAAGAAAAATGAACTTAAAAACGCGTTGAGCGAAAGAATATTTCTTTTCTGTTAGTTCCTTGCTAAGACTCTACATTAACATATGCTTTATACTTAAGAATGAAAACAATATAAAATAAATGGTTGTTGGTCGATCTGAAAATGTATCAGTATTTTCTCTAGAAGCAACAATTATATAAAAACTCAACAGATGCAAAATCAAACCTAAGGTTTACGTAGTTAGTAATCTTAACTTTAGATTTAATTTTCCATTAATTGTGTTTTTAAATGATTGGCGTTTCTAGAGAAAATACCGGCACATTCTTAAACTGACCGACGACCACTTATTTATTATTGATTTTATTCTTAATCATAAAACTTACACAGTGTAATCTTGATGAGGAACTAACTGAAAAGAAATAATTCTCCACACTTGTCTTAGACATATGAATGAGAGACAAATTTAACAATAAAACGTACCAAGTATGAAAGCATATGTGTTCGGTAGCGTTCGTGAGGCATAAAACGCCAAGTGGAACTGACTGCAGCAGATTATAAGAAGACGTATGCATACGTGTTTACCGAAGACTTTCTTCACGCAATGTGAGAAATTGATCAAACTCAGGGCCATTATTAATCCTAAGCACATTCTAACTAAGCAATAAGGTTAGCAATATGTACTACCAATGTACTGGGAAATGAACTTCTGCATTCCTAACAAAGTGTTTACGGAGACTAGCGGCGATACAATCCAGGCAACAGACAGGCAACCCAGGAACGACCTCGGTACAACACCTGAAAAATAGTTATGATCGTACTGTAATTTCAACGTAGAACAATATCTTGTAAACACACCATAGTTATGTTAGTTCGCAAATAGAGCAAGTCGTGTAAGGCTTGCATGCCGAAGCTTTCCTCAACTTTTGTGTAAGGACAGATGAAAACCACAGTAATGACATATACAGCAAAGAGAATTCCGATATTTTCCATCTTGAAAAGTGATATTCAATTGTTGATGAGTACGGTATTGTTAGGACAGCAGTGACCGAAAAATAAACCTGCAATAAAATATAGGAGAACAAAAACATAAACTGAAGTCCGACTCAATACGTGAATTTTACACACATTTAATAACTTCGGAGGTAAATCCAGCACACATTATGAGTACACTCGAATCGTAATTACCTGTCGACCACAACGACCTTGAAGATCAGAACACGCCCTTCATATACGGAATAACCGCCGTTTATCGGGGACTCAAGGTCACAGAGGCAAGGAGGGACATTTGAGCTATCTACTGTGCCGAAGGTAAGCTGGTTAAAACATTTGCTTTGGAAATTGCTCATTATATGCATCAATATGTGTAAATCGGGTTCCGATGCTTGTTGGTTGTTTGTAGAGCTGGATAATTTGTTAGCATTTTATTCATCTCTCATTGAATCATAAACGAATGGAATCCATTATCTCAGCACATGATCAAAGCTCCATCTGTCTACAGTTTCAGCAGAAATCTAGATCAACTGACAGACCACCATCGCTAAGGCCAATGCAAGCCACCTAGCCTACTGTGCTTCCCAAACCGGATCTTTTCAATCTTCCGACCTCGAGGTCTGGTCTTGATCATGGCCTGCAAATCCCAAGCTCCCAATTTTAGGGAAAATTTGACCCATTTTTTGGAAATTTTGGGGAAACCGCTATAGTAAGCTTTGGGGGAATGGCACAAAAACCCCAAAACGTTGGAGTTTTTCCCCAAAGTTGGGAGCTTGGGATTCTTCTCTTCCCGGAGAGATTTTGCCTAAATAGTCGACACCACAGGCAAAAGACCGATTTTTAGCCTTTATTTCCTCCAAAATCTGAATTCTTAAATTCGCCTTAATTTTACCATTGTTGGTTTGCTGGGCAGTGATAAGGTCTGTTGACGCGGGTTAATCCTTGCAGCATTTATTCTGTTGGAAATCTAGTTGTTTTTGAAAGTGTTCACTGGTGTACTGATGGCATGTATCCGGTTGGGGTGTTCTAGCAGTTGGCCACACACAAACACACAATGAAATCTTCGTCTTTTTAAAGACGGAATCGCACTCTGAGTTTATTTGTCCTCGGTTTTTAAACCCTAATTAGGATTCAAATACCGAGAACTCTCAAGAAGCTTTAAAATCCGGGGAAACTTCATGATATTTCCCGAACCAGGGGAAATTCTAGGGGTTTTAGTCTCATTCCCTCAAGATTTTTCAATAGTGCTCCCCAAAAACTAATGGAGTTTTCCTTAAAATTGGAGAGCTTCATAAGACCTAACTGAAATACCTTATCCAATGTCTTTCCAAAATCCATAAATATCATATCGACAGGTGAACCACTATCTTGGGCTGCTGTCGAACCCTTTCTCAGACTTTGTAAGTTAATTAAGTATGAGTTTTCTAAAGCACGAGTTTATCAGGTGTTAAAATGTGTGATACTACATGGTTTAATAACGTCGCCCGATTTTTTTTTCAAATACACTAGCTACCCTACTAGTTATACTAACAGGTCAGTAGTTAAACACAATCTGTTGCTTTCCACACTTAAATACAGGGTTCTGAAGTCGTGTCCCGGAGGGATGACACCAATCATAAATATAACCTGTCAGCGTCTGGAGACTTGTCAGTTTTAAGGCTACTAAGTAAAAACGACTATCTTTGTTACAAGCAACGGCCCTTTAGTTGCCTCAACATTGAGGATATAAGAAGTATTGATAACTATCTTCGGAATAGTCCTCATTGAAACAGTTTGATAAACTAACTGTGATCATATCTGGTTCAGTTAGTGTTTCTTCATTCTCGTGCAACTGTAATAGATGAATCCTGTCACTGCTTTGTCCTCCTGTCAATATGTGAAGAAGAATGTTTCGCACTAGTACGGCTACCTTGTGCCAACTGCCTTTCATAAGAAGTGAGAGTTCTAGAGATAGTCGTTTTACACATACTCCAGATCTTTCGGTACCCACACTTAAGTGATTCGTCACCCTCTTGTTAAAAGTGAGTCACAAAAGTGTTTTCTACGCCACAGTAACTATTGGATTTCCTTATCAATCCATGGAGGTAGATGTAATAGCTTATATGGAGTTTAAGATGTGGTAAATGGTTTTGCCACATCTTATAGTATGGCTTTAAACTCACCTCTTCATGTTCAATCAAATTATCTATACTGATTAACCAATTTTTTGAGATAGCACAATCTCTGATCCTTTGGATGTTTGCCCACCAGACATTGGGACGGGGTAGAACAGATTCATATGTATACTGTTTTTTAAACCTAAAATACAATGCAATTCGATCACTGTTCTCCACTGAGGACAGTAGGTAAATGTTAGTTACACCATAATGGTGAGTGGGCCCCTAAATGCCGTGGTACGGCCGAGGGTAAGGAGAGTCAGCTCACCCCCTCGAAATGCTCTCACATGACCACGCTTATAGAGCGATTGACAGGGAAGTCCCACTCACTACCTTCCCGTGAATGTGTTGTTGAGAGGACGAAAAGCGAATGTTCGGCACCTTAACTTGGTTGGTGGATATAGAAGATCGATCTAGTCAGTCAGTCAGTCAGTAACAACGTAGAACTTCGTACGTACGTACATCAGTTCGAGTTGCCACACCACATTAGCACAGAGATGCACTTGTCGATTCAAATCCCGTAGTGGTAGAGGTAGCAAGAGTATAAGCAGTAATCGGGAAGATTAGGGTTAGGAAATGTCATTTAAAGAGTATAATCCAGTGAAATAAATTTGGAAAGAGGAAAAAAGGGACATGAAAAATTCAGAAGATTAGAATTTGGGAGAACACAGAGAGTGGATGCACCTGCGCCATTGCAAACGATTTTGAGCCATGTCATTCAGGGTCTCTAACCATCGGTTGCTATCATCTCGCGGTCCCCAACCACGTAGTCTACACCTACCAACATGACTCAGTCCACTTGTCAGTGACTTCACGGACTTGTGCCATGTTTTGGTTTGGCCGCTCCTAGCTTTCTTCCAACCTACTCCTATACCACTGAACATCGCACGTCGAGGTAGTCGGTCGTTGGGCATACGTAACACGTGTCCCAGCCATCTCAACTGATGAAGTTTCACTACTTCATCAATTGATTTGCCATCCTTACCTAGTACCCGTTTCCTAACAGCTGCGTTACTTACTCGATGGTCCCAGGATATACGAGCAATACTTCGAAGACACCTATGATCGAATACTAGTAACCTACGAATATCCTCTACTCTTACCGGCCACGTTTCACTGCCATAAAGTAGGACGGAACGAACTGCTGCGCAGTAAACACGTTCTTTGGTTGAGAGACGGATATCTCGCCTACGCCATAAATGACGCAAGTTGGCAAAAGCTAGTCGAGCCTTCTGTATCCGTGTTGAGATTTCGTCACACACCAAACCACAAGGGCTGATGAGACTTCCAAGATAAGTGAAGCGGTCGACACACTCAACTACTTCACTCCCTATCACTAGTTCGGGTGTCGATGTAACCCAATCCTGAAGCAACATTTTGCATTTCGAGGGAGAGAATCGCATCCCGAACATGCTTGCATTGTTGCTTAGAGTGATCAAAAGACTCTGCATTTTGTCAGCGTCTTCACCAAATAAAACTGTCATCTGCATATTCTAAGTCAACAAGTGAACCTCCCGGTAGAAGTTCAACCCCTGGAAATTTAGATGAGGAGAGTGTTATCTCTAAAAGTACGTCGACGACAAAGTTGAACAAGAATGGGGAGAGTGGACAGCCCTGACGAACACCACTTGAGGTAATCAATTCTGATGACAGTTCGCCATAAGCTCTCACTCTACCAGTTGTGTTCGAGTAGAGAGCCTTTATAAGGTTAATGTACTTCTTTGGTACTCTTTTCAGTGACAAACACTGCCATAGAACCTTATGATCGACGGAGTCGAATGCCGCCTTAAGGTCGAGAAATACTACCATTGTGGGGCGTCTGAATGTGTGTCTGTGTTCTAGAACCTGACGTAGTGTGAATATCTGATCTATACAACCACGTCCAGGTCGAAAACCATCCTGGTTTTCTCTAATCTGCTCTTCACGAGCTTTGATTAGGCGTCGAAGTATTATTGAGGCCAATATTTTAGACACTATATTAGTCAAACTGATTCCTCTGTGATTGTCACAAGAGGACTTTTGTCCTTTCTTATAGACTGGCACAATCAGTGATTGAGACCAGTCAGACGGGATTACGTCCAGTTCCCAAATTCTACCTAAGACCTCGGTTAATCTCACTGCTAATACTGGACCACCATCCTTAAAAATCTCAGGAGTAAACCTGTCAGGGCCTGCTGCTCTCCCTCGTTTCAGATTTCCTATGGCTTTTTCAACTTCATAAAGAGTCGGAGGACCTACATTAACTTGCCATTCAGGTTGACTAGAGATCGTGGGAAACCGAAGTGTGGCTGAAGGCCAGTTGAACTGATCCCTAAAGTGTTCTGCCCATCGATCCAATCTCCTGGATTGAGAATGAATAATATGTCCATCTTTCTCTGAGATTGTTTCGCTAACGGTCGGGTTCCTAATTCCGGTTTCCTTAACGATTCTGAACAATTGTCTGCTATTACCTATTGCCGCTGCCTTTTCCATCTCTCTTGCTTTGGCTACCCACCACTGTTCGCGATCATTGCGTAGACTTCTTGTCAGCTTGCGCTTAAGATGACTCCGCTCTTCATTATGTTCAGAGCCAGGTGGAATGAGTTTCCGAGCATCTATCAGTGCGATAGATGCTGCTGAGATCCAGTGTTGCTCCCTAACCTTCTGGTTTACCTTACTAGCAGATATCACTGCTGTTTCCACAGCTTTTCGGATATCATTCCATGCTGCATCGGGGTGGGCATCACATACATGGCTGCCTAACTGTTTTCCTAGTTGTTGCTGAGATATACTCTTAGCTTGACTATCATTAAGTAGGCCCCTAAGAGGTTTCCTTGCAGCGTCTTTCCTACGTCCAGTAAAACGCAAGCAAATACGCGCTCGCACTAGAGCATGATCTGAATCTAGGCATGTGCTCCAGAATGAGCGACAGTCTTCTATCGAGCCCCTCCATCGGTGGCTGATAGCGATGTGATCTATTTGGGTCCAACGTTGGGACGAATTAGGGGGTCGCCATGTTAAAAGATGTTTTTCCTTATGCTTAAAGTTAATATTTGCAAGGAACAGGCGGTTATCTGTGCATAGCTGCAACAGACGGTCGCCATTATCTGTTCTTTGAGCCACGACACCATAAGATCCACCTAGGTGTCTT